TCCTTTCTTATGTGTATTTCTTTTATTTGTTTCTCTTACCTAATTGCTCTGGCTAAAGTTTCAAGTACCATATTCAATAGAAGTGATAAGAGTGGACACCCTTGCTTTGTTCCTGATTTTAGAGGAAATGCTTTCCGTGTTTCCCCATGCAGCATAATGTTGGCTTTGGGTTTGTCATGTATAGCTCTTACAATGTTAATTTCCTTCTCTGCCTGGTTTCTTCAGAGCTTTTATCATGAAGGGATGTTGAATTTGGTCTAAGGCTTTTTCTGCATTTATTGAGATGGTAATGCTTTTTTTTTTTTTGATTGTGCTTTTTTTTTTTCAGTTTAAAAAAAGAAATGTGTCAAATTTAAAACTCAGCCCAGCACATCTATTTAAAGAGCAGAGAAAGCAGACTGAGTTACTTGCAGAATGCATAGCCTTTAGAATCTTCAAAGGCCTCCGCCCCAGAACCTATAACTTGTGTTTTCTAAGGCCCCAACTTGAAGGGCAGGTAGATGCTTAGGATGTCAAGGAAGAGGTCTGATGTTTATTGGGTTTATGATAGGAAAACATCTGAAAGGGCAGATGAGAGCAGGGAGAAACCAAGGGAGCCCTAGGGACAGATTCCCAGCCACTGACTCCTTTGTTACCTTTACTGCATAGTAATTGCAACCCCATTCCTTAGTGAAGGGATGCTGTCACAGCCAGGTGTAGGTATGTGGCCATGTATTTGCATATGTATGTTAGTATGTATGTGCATATACTTATGGGTATGTTTGCTTTTAAAGGTTCTAAGGAGCACATGGGTTTTTCAGCCTGAGATAGGGAGGAGGTTAAAGGAGGGAATGGGAATGATTCCTCTCCTGCTTTTCTTCTGTCATTTTGCCACTGCCATTTTCCTGCTACCAGATTCTTCCTCTAAATAGCAGCAAAGCAGGGACTGCTTCTGGATATTTTGGGCTTCTTACATTAGATGGAAGAAAGTTAAATCGCCTCAGGCACTTGTCTCTTTCCTCTTTCACCTCTCATAGATACATTCCCTCCAAAATGAGCCCTTTCTCCCCTCTTCCTCTAGCTACTGCCCCATTGCCCTATTTCCCTTTAAAGTCAGTCTTACTGGGTAGGGTTGGCAATTGTTAAATCATTCCTCTGCTCAAAACCTTCCAGTGACTTGGGGCAAAAGCCTAAGTGTGTATTTCTCCCTTGATGGTTCCACTCCCACCCTGGCATCCTTGGGGCTCCATGGACATGTTAGGTGGCCTCCTTTCTCAGGCCTCTGCGCTGGTTGTTCGCTCTGCTTACTGTTCTTCCCCCAGGTATTGCATGGCTCAGGCCCTCACTTCCTTCAGGTCTCTGACCAAATTTTGCCTCATTAGAGGTCCTCTCCAGTCATCTCATACAACAGCCTGTCCCTGCCCGGAGGACTCCATGTCCTTTTCTGCACTTTTTTCTTGTCTGTGGCTCTCATCACTGCCTGACATGTTATATATCTAATGCTCATTCCTCATTGTCTAGGGGGTAGGGGTGGAGGAGGAGTTAGGGAGTGGTTTCTCAGGGAGACACAGAGATGGCCTTGGCCTTGGCCTGCCCACCTGTCTTGTCCCATTGTGTCATCAGGTTTTCATTATCTTGACCAAAATACCTGACAAAAAAACTTAGGGGAGGAAAGATTGATTTTGGCTCATAGTCTCAGGTGTTTCTCAGGGCCAGCTCACTCCATTGCTTTGGGCCTGAGAGGAAGCAGAACATCATGACAGAAGGGTGTGGTGGAGGAAAGCTGCTCAGCTCTTGGCAGCTGGTAGGGACAGGGAGTGGGGAATTACAGGCTAGGGACAAGATACAGTCCCCAAGGGTATAGCCCCAGTGACCTACTTCCTATAGTTTCCACATCCCCCCAAGTAGTACATTCAAATTATTAATCCATCTAAGGGATTAATCCACTGATGACATTGGAGTCCTCATGAACCCATCACTTCCTGAAAGCCCTGCCTCTGAACATTGCTGCACCAGGGACCAAGTTGTCAACACATGAGGTCTATGGGGACATTCCAGATCCAAACCACAACAGCTACGCAGCACATGGTTGGTGGTTGTACTCCAACACTGATGGATTATGCTATTGAGAAACTCCTGCCTCATGGCTCCCAACCTTCTGCAGGTGAGTGTTTACTAATCTTGGACCAGGGGAGGGTGTGGAAGAGTCAGCAAGCTCTCAAGCAAACTAGCAGCACCAGCAGGTCCCTCTTCCCCCTTGTATCACTGAGCAAACAGAGCCACCGCAGTGGGGGTGGTGAGTGGCAGAGGATGCAGCCTCTGCTATAGTCCCCCACCCCTACTGCCACTGCCTGACTCCAGGAACCCCCCCATGTCTCCTTGGCTAAGAGCTGGCTATGCCCAGGTGGCCTTGCCGGCTTCTGTTGCTTCTAATGCTCAAAGGCCCTTTGCTGGCCCCATACTCTCCTGGTCCAGCATCATTTACACTGCCAAGCCTGCACTCATCCAGGGCTCAGAGGGAACCCTTCCCCTCTCTGGACTCTCACACTGGCAACTTGCTTATTTATGGCATCTTCCCTTCCTAGGCATAGAGCCTCTGTCCTGCAGCCTGCCCAGCCTGGCGCCAGCCACATCTCTGTGCGCTGACAGCACTAAGCTGATGGCTAGTATGTTGGGTTCAGGATGGAAGCACAAATCAGGTGGGGTGGGGGGTCAGCCATCAGCCTAGCATGAGGGAGCTCCCTGCTTTAGGGGATGTGAAACCAAGAGCTTTCAGGTGAAATTCAAGCCACAAGGGCAGCTGAGTCTGATCCTTCCACGTCACAAAGGTCCGCTTAGCGCAGCTGCTTCACCTCCCTGTCACAAAGGTCCGCTTAGCGCAGCTGCTTCACCTCCCCGTGCAAAGGGCTGCCTCGCCCATGTGTGTGGCCCTCTCCATCCCTCCCTCAGCCTGCTGGGCACCAGCATTCCAGAACTCTTGTGGTTAATGAGGGAAAGAGAAGGGAAGGAGGGAGCTCTTGCCTGCCTCTCCAGAGGGGAGGGAAAGTGAGGGGGAGGTGGAAGGGCTGCCTTGCCTAGATGGCTGTGCCTCCCTCAAGCTGAGAGCACCGGGGTGCTTACAAGAATGCAGGGAGTGAGCCCTGGTGACAGCTGGGGGAAATTATTCACACTGTCAGGAGCACGGCTTATACCATGAATTGGTTCCAATTCTTTATTTTTAAATCCCCCAGCTGGCTAAAGACTTAGAAGGAAAGATGTGCCAATCATTTGCATCTTATCCCAGATGGGCTGTCACTAAGGGTCCAGGGAAGTCTAATGGGGCTGCGCTGGTGGTCAGGAAAAATGCAAGGACCCTTGGCAGTTACCTGGGGCTTGCTGAGTTGCATCCTGACAGCTCCTGGGAAGCTGAGGGCTGGAAGGCGGTGTGTCTGGCTCTCCTCCACAGCAGTGGGGATCTGACCACTGGCTCAATGGCTACACTTCTACCTGGTGAAAGAACATACAACTGCCATGCCTTGAGTCTGGGGGTGGCACTGGGATGACTTCCTTGGTTTGGGAGAGGGGTCTCTGCCTTTCACTCCCGCTGCACAGCCTTCTCCAGAAGGCAAACATGCCTTTATGGCCAGTTCTCCAGGGCGGACACCTGGAGGGGCACAGGTCCTTCTTTTGTGGACAAAGGAACAAAACCCAAGATTCCTTGCTGGAGGGGACTCTTAATTTTAGATAGATGTTTAGCATTTGAACCCCCTTCCTGTATCTGGGGTATCTCCATGTTGTGAAACTGAGTCCCCGCCCCCTCCACTATAGAAGGCAGAACTTTCGGATAATGGCTTTTCTAACCTCCTGCTCAGCTAACAGCATCCCCTTAGCTGATGCAGCACACTGCCTGAGACCTTGCACAGCAGCTAGTGGCTGTTTGCAATGCATTCTGATGACAGGAGGCTGCCCCTATATTCAGTTTCCAAAAGAGCAGAAGAGATGGCAGTGTCCAGCATCTTGGGTATCTGGGGTTTAAGCCTCAGTGTGTGAGGCTGGGAGTAGTAGGAAGTGATAGAGGGTCCTGGTCCTGGCTGGGGAGCTTTAAATCTGGTGACATGTGACTTATCCAATCTTTAAGAAACATATTTCCTTAACCCAGCCAGAGTTGGTTTGTTATTTGCAAGTAAGAATTCAGACCCAATGACAAAGACTGAGAGATTACAGCCAGTTACTGGGATTTCTCCTTGGCACATCCCTCCTGGGTTTGTGTCTGAAAAGTCTCTCAAAAAGGCAAGTGCAAAAGCACAACTATTCCTCATGCCCGATGTGCAGGTACAGCTAGAGGTGGAAGGCTCTGGTGGCTACCAGCTGAGAAATGGGCCCAAACTGCATAGGATTTATGATTGAGAGGTGAATGTGTCAGTGGACTGGGGTGAGGAATGCTTATCTCAGCAGCCTAGTGAATGTCCTTTTTCGGAGGCCTTCAAAAATGAACAGGGTATTTTTTTTCCCATCTGCCACCTTGCCAGTCCACACTTCTCCATGCCTAGGTATGTAGCATATGCTTTCGGGATTCATTCATTTTTTTTTCAGAATAGTTTACATATTGCACTAAGGCAGGGGGACAAATCACATGACTTCAGAATTCATTGGTTCCAATTATTACAGCCCTTCTAAGAGGCATTTTTGCCAAAATTGCACATTTAAAAACACACACACACACACACCCCACATACAGAATGTTCCTCTTTTTCAAGCCATTGAACACACATTAGATTGGAGAATAGTCTTTCTCACAGTTTCTGGTCCTCTCATTCTTCAGAGAATTCTCTTGGTAACTCAAAGGCCATGGATTTTTTCCTAAGTAGCTTAAAAAAACATTTATTTATTTTTAGTTGTAGATGGACACAATACCTTTATTTTATTTATTTTTATTTTATATAGTGCCAGGTATGGAACCCAGTGCCTCACGCATGCTAGGCAAGCGCTCTACTACTGAGCCACAACCCCAGCCCCTCCTAAGTGGCTTTTTGAGGAGGAAATGGGGGACTGGGCTCTAAGAGAATGACAGGGCTGCTGTCTTTTCACTTCACAGGCAGATCTTTCCATGGCCAAGTCTGGGAGAACAGAAGGCATTCTGGGAACACGATGCTCTCACATCCTGCAAAATGTAGAGTTGTACAGAGCAGATGGCAGGGACTTCAAAAGCATAAGAGTCACCTTGAAAGATAATGGTGTAAAGGGAAGGATAGATGGGAGACTTTTGTACCCTTTGACAAGGAAGCAGAAAAGACAAAAGCTATTTGCTAGACTTATGTGTGAGTCAACAGAACTGAAATGATTCTGCTGTAATTTACTTCAAGAGAGGCCAAGCCTCCTGTCATCTTGTCCAGAAATAAATGGCATCAATCAACTGACAAACTGTTTCTCTTGCCTCCTGATTTTTTTTTTTTTTTTAACACAGGGAAGCATTTGCATCCTCTTTATCCAGGCAGCTGAGGCCTAACAATTCTCCTTCCTGTCACCATGCCTTAGAAGAGAGTCAGATCCTTTGACCTGAGAGATTTCCACCCCATGAGACACTGGGCATGACAAACAGAGCTTCCTATCCTCAGTTGGCCAGCCTAGGGTTGCCAATAGAGCATATCTGGTCACTCCAACAGCCAAAGACAGGTGAGTTCAGCATGCTTAGTCCTGTGTCAGTTCGTAGGCCTCTTGACTTTTTTGCAGACGGGCAAAGTGAGGTGCAACGTTAACTTACTTGTCCAAGATCACAGAATCAGTGCAGGGATACTGAACTCATCTCAGATGAGAGCACCCAGTGGGGCAGCCAGTGGCTTTTCAACTTATGTTAGTTCTTTACTTCACAAGCTTGTCCTTTGAAACAGAACACTATAACCCAACAGCCTCAGTAAAGGTCAAAGTTGTCAGGTCAGCACTGAGGGGAGAGATAGGAAAAGCCCCCCTCCACAGTCTCAGGGTAGGGGAGGAGCCAGTGCAGACCTAAGGCTCTGGGGCTTCTCTGCAGTGGGGAAACCAAGTCCCCCCAGGCAAGGTTGGTGTCAGCTGCAGGACTTGTACCATATCATCGCCCATCCCCCATCCCCCTCAAACATCTGCTCTGCCTTGGTGTAGCCTCAGCCGCTCACTAAAGGGATCAAGCCTCAGAAGCCTATTCTCCTTCTTTGAAGCTGACAGCTTGATGCCTGTGGAAATGCAGCCCTATTTCAGGGCTTCATTTAAAGAGGTTTCAAAGAGTGACTCGAAGGATTGGTTAAGTCACTTATTATGGCTCCCCTCCAGGCCCACAGCTCGCTGGGGCCCAAACATAGCAGCTGTGGCTTTGCAGGTCATTGGCAGGCAGGTGATTATTCTGAATTGGCACCTGGCTAGTCTGGCGTATTCTAGCTCTTCCTAGAGCTTCTTCCAAGCAGCAACAGGCACTTTCGTGCCTCGTACCTTTCTTTCTTTTTTTTGTGGTGCTGGGGATTGAACCCAGGGCCTTGTGCACGCGAGGGAAGCACTCTACCAACTGAGCTCTATCTGCAGCCCATCCTACTTTTCTTATAGCATGTGTTTGAAAATGATCCACCAAGGAGTCAGGCAATTACATTACCCTCTGACTCATGCTGATGTTGGGCATGTCTTAAAGACCCCTCCCCCCAAAAAAAAGTCTTTGAAAAATATAGGAAACCAGGGAGGTTGTGTCCTGTGGATTTCAGGCAAATGGCAGCGAACAGGCTGGTTAGGGCTTTTTTCTTTCCAGTCCTGTTGCCACCTTGGCACCCTCATCCTTCTCCAAAGGGAGAGTGAATGGGAAGGTGTAGGGGTTGTGCAGGAGCCTGGGGGAGAGGGCGTCGAGCCAGGCCTATGTATGGGCTGCTGCAGGCCAGCTGCCCACATAGTCTCTGGGATCTGTGCCTGTGCAAGGAATGTGTAAATCCGTTGTGGCAGGAACTGACAGACTCTGGGGCTTGTTCTTTATGTAACTACTCTTACCTCAGCAGGGAGAGTATTGTGATTTGGAAGAAATGGAACCAAAGGCAGTAAAGTCCCTGGTGAGTGGCATCTGCACACCACCAAGCCCTGATGAGCACAGGGAGGCTGCTCTTGTCACCATGGCCTCTCCCAGGAGCAACTAAAACACCTGGTTTGGCCTAAAGAAAGACTCTGCCAGAGGGCAGTCATGTACCTTTCCTCTGCTTTAAGAATAACTATCAGTACTGCATCTTGACTCTGAGGGGTGCTAGGCAGAGCTGTGGCCCCTTAAAGCAGGTGCAGCATCATCCTCTCTTCTCCCCCTTCACAGACACTTCAAGGAATGAGAGACAGATCCAGTAGTCTCATTTCCATTTCAGAGGAAGCATCACCATGAATCTAACCCATCACTGTCACCCAAACAGAGGACACCCCTTGGCCACCAGATGACCTGTCTTTCAAGGTGTATTATTTATGGAAATTGTTCTCTCTAATGTTTATTCCCCCCAGGGGAAGACACTGCCTGGAGAGAAACTCCATTCACAAGGACACCTGGCAAAAGATTTGCTAGACCCTGTCACAACCCATCTTTCTCTACAACCATCATCTCCAACCACACCCAAGAGTGAGGATGCAAATGCTTTTATGAAAAGAGTTCAAATTCCCAGCCTGGCTCTATTTTTAAGAGGGAAGCAATGTTTCTGTGGGAACACACCATTAATTTCCATGGCATCTAGTGACTCATTCATCACGTGATGGTTCCTCTTGAGCCTGGGAGGGGAGAGACAGGGGACTCCCTACCTGCTCTGGCTCCAAAACAGCAATTTGTTTGGCTATTATAAAAAACTCAGTCTCACCTTTTTTTTCCCCCTAGATTCTGGAAGATGTGGGAGTTTTCATAAGGTAGGAGACACCCCAAATTCATGGGCAGCCAGGATAAAATTCTTGATGATGTGAGCCAAAATTAACTGGGAGCAATTGTATAAATCTTGGCAACAGAATTGTTACATGAAAGTCAGCCATGCTAACAGAGCAGCTAAGAAGAAAGCAGGGTACAAGATAGTGAGAATTCTACAGAAAGAGAATTGTTCTATTTGGTAAACATTTTGGACCCCAGACAGACTGCATCCTGTTAAGATGTTCCCCTGTCAAGGTCTGCTTGTCTAGCTATTGCTGCTGGAAGGATCTTTCTGTCTTTAAGATGTGTCACTAGCTCATCGAACCTATTTCTGTAACTCTCTGAGAGCCAATTTAAGCTGGTTTCTCTGTTCGCTCTGCACTCAAAAGAGACCAATTTCTAATTCCTTCTTAGAGTCCATGAGACCAGATGCTGTGACAAATGTTCCAGCAAAATGAACCTAGAAAATGATCCCAGGGTGCTCCTTGGGGGAGCACAGGATTCATCAGTTCTATCTGTGGTTTAAACATACATTGGTTTCAGGTCGAGTGCTGCCATCTCCTCCCAGTGAATGTTTCTGATGGGACATGCTTTTGTGACAGCATAGGGGATCTTGGGGGACAGAAGAAAATTCCCAGTGAGGCTAGGAGGCAAGTGACAGATTCAGAGGTGATCATGTTTATAGTTGTAGTCTTACTGCATCTGGCAGCCTGAACTGGGCAGCAGTTCCTGCAAGTGAGAAGCCACTGCTTTTGTTAGATAGGTCATTGTCCCATAAGCCCCACTGGGAGCGCTGTCATAAAAGAAGTGGCAAATTCCTGTGGCTTGGTCTTTCTCCAGGGTATCAGTGGCTCCAATTGATACCTGCAGCAGGAACAGGCAAAGGGAACGTGAGCAGAGTCCACCTCCTCCCCCACCCCACAAGATTCTTCTGCATATTGGAGGCGGCCAGTGTGGGTGAGGGGTGGTTGCTAGAGGTCCAAGTCCAGGCTTCACTAAAGAAAGCCAGTGCCTCCCAGCAGGTAGGGCCTTCTGCCTCTGCTCTGGGCTGGACTATGTTCTCATAGATCCTAGTTTGCAGCTCTGCACTGGTCTATGAGAGGGCAGCTTCTTTGCCTAACCTGATTTTGTATACAGGATAAGTGGTTTGCCCAGAGCCACATATGTAGCAAGTGGTGGTGTTTAGACTAAAAGCTACACTGACACAGGCCTGTTCAAAGGTTGATTTCCCAAGTGGCCACTGTGCCATTTCCTAACCAAGTGGCCATTTTTTCACCATCTGATGACATTTTCTTTGGCGCATACTCCTTCCTATTGGATATAGAACCTCCAGCTTCAACAGAGAAAAATGCTGGCCAACCTGACTATTCAGCTTCAGCTGTAGGGTGAGCAGATGGTCTGGGCACACCTACCTGGTCCTGCAGGAACAGCTGATTGGCCATCTGCACAATCTGATCTACATGGATGATGCCTCCAATGCTGTCCATCTCTGTGTCTGAGAGTAGTGTCAGCACCATGATGGTTTCCACCAGCAGCTGCCGGTACTCGGGCTGGGGCACGCGGTTCAGCACTGACTCCACATGGACAGCAAACTTGATTTCATGTGGAGTCATCTGTCAAAGGGACAGGCAGGTGGCCAGCAATGAGATGGGACAGAAATAGCCCAGTAACCAACACTTCCCTCAGCACCACTGGGACGCAGCTCAAATGCCACCTCCCTTCTGGCCACTGTCTTGATTCTGCAGTGGGAACCTTCTGGAGTAGGAGGCTGAGCACTCTGCTCCAAGAGCCAGTTGGCCTTGTCCTAGTCTCCTCTATCTACACACTGGACTGTGACTTGCAGGGCATAGGGACTATTTCTTATTTTTCTTCTCATCATTCCCTGCTTGGGTAGGGTCAACTAAAACACCCATTTTTAAAAGAATGCATGGGGTGGGAGGAGGGATAAGCCTTCTTGCAGCTCAAGAAAAGAGGCCCATGGAGGCCGCATGTGGGTCTAGTATGTGTGGGAGGAAACTTGGCTGGGGTATTCAGGGGTCCTGGGGAAAATATGGAGCTTGATAGTCTAGAAATGCTGTTTCTGAATGAGACAAGAGGTGACAGGAAAGAAGCTGCACAATTTGAGGGTGAAGTGGCTAAAGAGATCAGACCTACAAATAGCCCGACTACTCAGAACAAGCTTGAGAGGCGTGTGAGCGTTCAGAGCCCATAAAAGAAACCCACAGAGGTCTGGGTTCTCCTCCTCATACCTCTTGGGTCGTTGAGGATGGGAGGACATAACCATCAATGGAGAGACCGTGGCACTGGAGGAAGAACACAGACATTTCAGTCAGATTCTAGAACATGGTAAAAGTGCTTGAGTGTTCACACACGCACTTGCTTGCACAGCTCTCCCTGCCCTGGAAATCTGCACGAGGGCTGGAACACGCCAGACTGTCAGTTATTTTTAGAGCGCTGTTCTCACTGCCCACAGGCTGTGTTTTCGATGGAACAATTCTAGGGAAACCAGCAGGCATCTTTCAGATCCTGCACGAATAATGCCCTTGGGAGCTGTGGCATCCTCCTCCCTGGAGGCTCCATGTTTCACTTGGCAACTGGGCCCTGGTGCCTGCCAGGCCCCCTTTGGTGCCATAATGAAGGGAGATTTTCATGGCTCCTACTGGTGAAGTGATGCTTCTGTGCCTTTACAGGCGTCTATTTTCGAGATTTCTATAAAAAGCACCAACCACAAAAGACTCGAGCACATGCACAGACATGCACATGCACACCGTATATATAAATATCAAGCAGGCTCAATACAAAATGGTGCTCTTTCATAATAAAAGCATCTTGGTTTTGTGCCAGTGGAAGTCCGGACGGAAACATGATGCCCCAGGAAGAGTGGGGAGATTTTCTAGGAATAATTTTTCCTAGTCTAATGGCCATTTTCTAACTGCTAGTGTGCCGGCTGTGCCGGCAGCAGCCACCCTGCCTTCACCCCTTCCTGAGGACTCCTGAAGAGGCAGGGGATGGCGCACGAGGGGCGTCCACAACTCTGAGGGCTCCCCTTAGTGGATATCAGAGTCCAGCTGCTTATAGACAGGGTCCGCTCTGAACTCCTCTCACCCAGCTTTGCGCCTGCCCTGAGGAAGACCTCAGACCCATAAAGCACAGAGGCCAAAGCTTCACAACTGGCCAAAGGCATTTTCTACAGAAAGAATGCAGACCAAATGGTGCTGTGACTTTGCAAAGGGGGCTAGAGTACGTTCAGCTTGGGATTACTGCATTTTTCACTCCTTTCCTACTGTGAAATGAGCTAGAAAGAAATCATTTAGGGGAAAAAAAATTTGTCTTGGTTTGGATAAACGCTTTATAACTGAGGCATACCATCTCTCTGTGGGAAAGGCAGGACAAGCTCTGGTGGGGCCTGGGAAGCTGCATGAATGTCCTGAGGCCCATGTGGGAGGAGATGGAATGCAGAGAACAAAGGGGCCCATCTGCCCCCTTTGGCCATGCTGCCCCCTCCTTGGCAACAGGCATTCATACAGGCTTCCCCTGTTCAGGTGTGCAGTACAGTCCGGCTGTGTCACCTCTTCTTGGTTTCCAGCCACAACCTCCAATGACTCTTTAACAGGTGGGAAACACAACCCTGTCGGATAGCCATATCAGCAGTGGGAAGCTGGCTAAGGAGGTGGGGCTTGGGGGTCCCTGTCCTCCAGGGAAGGAAGCAGGAGCAGCCCGGGATGGGAAGGACATAGGACTGCGTGCCACACTGGAAGTTCCTGAACACCCTCAGGACCTAACACAGTGTCCAGCAGACACCAACTAATAGGTAGAGGCCAGGGATGCTGCTATACACCCCACAGTGCATGGGACAGTTCCCAACAGCATAAAATTACTTGGGCCAGATGACACAGTGCCAAGGTGGAGAAACCCTGCTCTAGACTGTGAGCTGCTCAAGGTCAGAGGCTGTGTGTTTGCTTGTTCTGTAGCCATCTGTTACCTGATACCTGGCAGTGCCACTGTGTCCCATAGAGGCAATAGAGGGCTGGCTCATTCCCTGGAAACACTTCTCTCAGTACCAGTACATGCAGAGTATGGCCCAGTGCCCAGCTCACCTTTTGAAGGATCTTCCACACCTTCTGGTAGAATCCCACCGGGACCCTGTTGATGGCCCCATCCAGCCTTCTTCTGCGTAGCCACTGGCCCTGCCGCTCCCCCCAGCCAATGTGATATCCTCCTGAGTCTGATGATGATGTGCCCGTGGGTGAGGATGGGGTGCTGGACCTCTGGAACACAGAAAGCAAGTAGTCTTCTTTAGAAGTCTTGAGGGATGCTCAGCAGGTGCCCCAGGGAAAAGCTCACCTCCATGAAGTCTGGCTTAGTGAACTAATCAAAATCACTATATGCCACTCACCCAGGGAGGAACAGGGTTCCTTGTCCATTTTGCTCTTTGATGTTGGATTATTCTTTTGCTCTCCAGGTTGATTACTTGATTCCTCCCAGCCTCCAAGAGGTAGTAGAACACCCAGAGGACCCAAACTCATAGGGCTTTGGCTAAGCAGGGATGGTGTGAGTTCTGGGATCAGGCCACTGCGGTGCCAACCCCAACTCAGTAACAGCTAGCTGCAGCACAGACCCAGGTGAGGCTTCCCTGGCCCTACACTAGCACCAACTGCCACCCTGGTTGCATCTGTACAACAGGGAGCTGCCTGTGGGCATTTGTTGAGTGAAGACACGGAAAAACCCTGAGAGCATGACTGGCTTGTGCTGAGTGCTGAGGAGCAGCTATCCACCTGAGGGCTGCTCCCCTGAGGACACCTCAGGAGAGATGCTTGCTCTCAAAGCAGGTGAGCTTCTCCGGTCTGCAGTCCAGGGAACAAATGCCGAAGTGCCCAGTTGAGCAGCATCACTATAGGGCAAGTACCACAGAGAATACCATACCTCCTACAGGAGGGAAGGACCCAGAGACAAAGACAAAAAGTCAAGGCTAGGAATCCCCAGTTAGTGGCAGGGACCTCAGATTTTAGTATTTCCACCCATGCTTTTCAATTCTGCCTGCTGCCGTCCTGTTCTTGGCCTTGGCAGGGTCACAGTGGCTCTGAGTTGGGACTGGCCCTGGTGACACAAGGTAGGAGGGTGTCATTTCCTTCTCACTTCCTCCAAAGACTGGATTCCTTCTGGGCTCTGTGAGGGCAGCACTGTTGCAGGGCTGCCCATGACCAAATAGCAGCTCCCAATGGGGCCTGGCGGCCAGACCTGGAAGAGGGGCTTGCCTGAAGTCATCTGTGTCTCCTTGCTGGGGCAAAGCTTGGCCTGCTGTCTTGCCCAGGGTGGGTTCTAGCCCTTCAGCCTCCAGGTCAGGGTAAGGGTAACCTGCATCCTTACACATGCCTTTGTCCTGGATTATTTGGCACTTTGATTTTTCAATGTACAACATCGAATTTAAAGACTTAAAGTAAAATCCCAATATTAAGCACACTAGCAGGGCAGGAGGCGGGCTTCTCTCTGTACTAATCTTGACTTCAGCAGATCTTATTTTGAAAAAGACAGGCTGGGTTATTCCACTGGGCTCATTACTGCCATTTAAATAAGGCAACAATTAGCTACAAATAAAAGTAATTACAGCCAAGCTCATCAATGACTCAGCTGATTTTCTCTTGGTTTTGGTAGCCTAAGATTCAGATTTGTCTTTGTGATTAGAACATTTCTTAGGCCCTCACTTGAGCTGGAACCCTACAAGGAGCCAGGCCATGTGGCTGTAAAGTGCTGGTCAGCATGTGCTTCCCTGCCTCAGCTCAATACTTAATTAAAAAATATGGAACCAATGCCCTGAAGATTCCAGAAACTCCTGCAAACTGGTGAGGAGAGCTCTCCTCAACCACACCATGCTGAGGAGCTTAAGCAAAGAGAACTGATAGCCCAAGAGGGAAAACAAAGTTTAGTTGAACAACTTCTCAGCCTTTCTAGAAATTCCTCAAAATTAGGAGGAAACTGTAAACCCAGGTCAAATCTTCAGAAGTCAGGGGTAAGGGCTGGGAAAAAGCTCAGTGCTGGAGAGCTTGCCTGACAATACATGAGGCCCTGGGTTCCATACCCAGCACCGTGCACACATACAAATCAAAACAATTCAGGGATGAGGTAGGAGCAGAGAGAGTCCACTAGAAGATTCAGACAGTATGAACACAGAAGAGGAGGCAGGGAGGGACAAGATTCAACACATGTTTACCGCAGACTTGGAGGAATGCACACTGCTGGATGCGGCCTGGCCCACAGAAAAGAACTACAAAAACAAAAAGAGTTTACTCAGTCATGTGTGAAGACACCAAGAGATGCCAGTAGCACAAGCACACAGGCATGAAAAGTGGCCAGGAAGGAAGGTATGGAGAGGGCTGGCTGAAGAGGTTCTCAGAAGTGCAAGTGATCTAGCCTCAGCACCTTGGCACAATACTGGCCCCAGCCCCAGGTCTTTCTTTAAAAAAGCAAACATACCAGATTCTGTTTGCTTGTGCAAGGTGCCTAATTGAGGTGGAATGTTTTCCAAACTCAGTTATGAAATGCTGATGTTTTATGTTGAGTCATGAAAATCTAGAGATCAACAAAATGCCCATAACCACCACTAACAACTGGCATCTAACAGGCATCCCATAGGTATTTGTTAAATGCACACATGTGATCAGGGTGATGACCTTTGGCCATACAAGTATTTCCTCACCTAAAAGTCTAGACTCTACTCTTAGATTACAAGGGTATGGTCTGTGTACCTGGTGTTCTTGCAAAAGTGAATAGAAATTTAAACTGTCGTGGCACTGATTAAATTTTGAACAGAGAATGTTTCCTTAATGTAAGGAAATATAAATATAGCCAAATATAAAACTTGTACTAGCTAGTTGAATATAAACACATCAAAGAAGAAAGGTGATCATTCTGTCTCTGTAACATGCAAGGACAGAATTAAATGAAGGTGACAGGAACCATCCATATTCACCCATGCTTAGGCCAGCAGACTATGGGTAACCAGAGGAACGGTGCCACCGAGTGGCTGACAAAGGAAGGCGTTTGGAAAGTTGGTTCCTTACTTGGAAGAAGCATAAATTAGAATGAGAGATAAGTATGTTTTACCCCTGGACAACATGTGCAATCTGCATTCACATGTCAACATGTGATTCCTCTATACTCTCCTGGTCCATAGGGACATCAAATCATTAGAAATGTGACTCTGGAAGCCAGGTGTGGTGGTGTGCACCTGTAGTCCCAACTGGTGAGGAGGATGAGGCAGGGGGACTGCTTGAGCCCAGTCTGGGGTCAGCCTGGGCAACATAGTGAGACACATCTCTTAAAAAAAAAAAAGTGACTCCAATTTTCTGGAGGAAGTAGGATGCCACAGGGTGGCATTGAAGAACAGTATCTTACATTTTTTTTTTTCCTTCCAGGGTTAAATTCCCCAAGGTCATCTGCAGACAGGAATAGCCCCAGCCTTTCTATTGGTAAGTATACCCAATTTAGCTCCTGCGTAGATACCCCTATTTAGTTTCTTCTTTTTGAACAGGAACTTTGAGGCAGAGCCCAGACCATACAAGTATCCTATAAAGCCCAGGAATTTGACAGATGGGTTTTTTTTGAAGCCCAGGGTAAGGTCACTTCTCCTGCCTTCAAGTCCCGCTCATTTTCTGTCCCTGGGGGTTGTCTGACTATGCCACTTTGATGGGCAGAATTGCTCCTTCACCCAGTCACACTCTGTATTTACAGCTTCACTTTCCACATTCAAGCCAGAAAGGACATGAAAGACACACAGTAAAAGACAAAACAAGGCAAAAATATTTCACCTGTTCATCAGCACTAAATCGCCTTGTCATCTGAAAGTTAAAACATCAGAAAATAAACAAAAACTAAATCAAGAACACCCTAATACTTCTATCACCCTCTGATAATCCAGGGCAGTGATGGTCAACCTCAGGGGGTGATCATTAGTGCCTCACAGACTCAAGCTAGTGGAACATGACTAACGTTTGAAATACAGGAGGAAATCCAAGTACATTTCTCATTGTAGGTCTCTGTCAAAAGGAAAGTCTATTTCCTACCATGGGTCATGGTCAAGTTCTAGCATAGTGCATATTAGGACTAAAAAGATGTTGAATCATAGTCCTGTGAGGATAAGTTCAAAAGGATTTTTATTGTGAATTAAATAAAAGGGGACAAAGAAAAAAGATACCTGTAGAAGGTGGGTAACATAGGTATCATGGTCATTCAATTCTATTTCCAGATCCTTCTATTTCAATAGAAGGACACATTTGATAGAGAAATGATTGTTTCTTTCTGTATGACTCTACTTTTTAAATGGCACAAAAACAAACATGAACAAAAGCATGTTCTAGAACATATACAAAACATCACATTGAGGTGAAGGAACAGGCAGGTACAGGTTGCACAGGGGCAGCTAGGGGTACCTGTTTGGGTACAGAGCTTTATTTAGATCCCAAGGCAGAAGGGACCTCACGTCCTCTACAAAAAGCAGGCTGAAGCTTCATGCCCTGGGTTTCTATGACCTTCTGAGGTGAGCCTAGGCAGGAGAACCACTTCTCTTCCCATTCCTGCTGCTGCCACTGCCAGGGTGTTCTTACCTGTTTCATCTCACTCCTCAGTCTGGTAATGCCACTCCTCTCAGTTTTGGTGACTCCGGTATGTCCCACCTCATGGATGGAAATGGCAGGGCTGGATGTGGTGGAGTGAATAGGGCGTACTAGAGGGAAGACACACACACATGTGGTTCTTTGGGACTATACAGCACCCACCCTGAGGGAGGAAATGTGAATGATGTGCTTCTTTGGGTTTGCGCTCGTCCCTCTCACTTGACTATAAACTCTGCCTGCCCTGGCTAGTGCTGGGCTCTCAGTGCCCAGGGTGGCACAGACTCACCACGAGGGTCTGGCAGGACTGTATGAAAGGGCAAAAGCTCCTTAATCAGTACACACAAAACAGAGTGGCAGAAAGCCCTTTAGAAATTGAATATGCTTTTAAAATAATTTTTTTACTTTTTCAAAAGGTCACCTTCCTTGTGGAAAACGGAAACCAACCAACTAAGCAAGCCAGAACTAATGTCTTTTGACATTTTAGTTGTTATCCTGACGGGTTTTTTTCCTATGGTTGTGTTTTCCCTATGGTAAATGTTTTGATCATATAAAACAGAATCACCACATATGTATAAACATATGAAATATACATCATATATATTTATATCTGATATGTATATATGTATAGTCCTTGACCTTTCTGTACTTAATATGCACTTAATATGTTATCATGAATGTCTTCCCATGCCATTCCATATTCTATCACCTCACATTTAATGATTGCATGACATTTGATTGTTGTAAGGGATTCATCATTACTCACATGGAGGACCCACACTGACCTTGCCAGGCTTTATCCCCAGCCCCATGACCCTCAGAATGCCAGCAGTGCCTAGGGAAAATGACAAAACTACAGGGTTCTCACTGAGGGGCTTGTTACTTGGACACTTGTAGCTGTGGGCCCAGTGATGGGAGAGCATGCCAGTCCCTGTCTAGACACTGGATGCAGGTGCCAATGCATGGTGCTCAGGGACAACAGGGATCTGGGGCAGAATTTAGCACTGCAGGGGTACAGGGAGGAGAGCCCACCCCAGCCACAAGGGTACTGAGCCTACTGGAAGACCTTGGGCTGGGAAGGAAACGTAGGAGAGCCAGGCACAAGGTGCTGCTAAGGGCCCAGGGGGCAGGGAGACTCTTCTGCCACCCTAGCCCCTCCCTTCCAATCTATTGCACCAGCTGCAAGACTCACACCTATCCCCGGCCCTCCCCCTCCATGGGCCTGGCCTCTGGACTATGCCTTCCTAGCCCCTCACTCCTGAGCCAGATATGCTGTTCTGGGCATTTGTACATGTTTCTCCCTCCCACCCCACTACTCCCCTTTGCAGCCTGGCTGGAAGGTCACTCCCCACCCAGCCCCACAGAAGCCAGGGGAAATGGAGGGCAATGGAGAGGGAGGAGAACACCAAGGAGACACAATGATTAAGCCTGGGGGGAAAGAGGGGCACCAGGCCAGTGGAAAATGGAAACCAAAAGAGGTCTGGAAAGTTCCAGAAGGGCCTGTATGGGGGTGTTCACTGGAAACAGTTATCTCAGACATCTCAGGATTTAATCAGAATTTTAAGAATTCTAAGCCAATATAAGCTTCCTAGTTTATAAAAACTGAATAATTACAAATTAAGAAATGATGTTATGTTTTAAAAAGATAGCTCGTCTTCTGTCCTTACTTGCAATTAACCATATTTGGGCTTTCAAATGATATCACTCAGTTGATAGTGTTGTAAGCATCTATAGCTTTACTCTAATGACAATTATCTGTATCAAACCATATACGCTACTATGATGAGAACACAATATTTATCTTGTACATTTACATTTCAAGGATTGTGCATTGGAAAGAACTGGAAATTAATTTTGGACAAGCATCTTGAGAGCTCCTTCCTTAGAAAGGAGAAACACCACCAATATGCATATGATTCCCTTGGTCTGGGCTGAAACACACTCAGGAAAAATACAAAGTACCCAATGTCCTTCTTATTAAATAAAAGGAATGACAGTCCACAGTGTATTTCTTTGGCTTGATGAAATAAATTCACCAATGTGTCTGCAAATCATTTTTTATGAGGAGGAGAAATGATAATTGCTTCAATTATAGTTAGAGAGCATTTGAGAACAAGGACTTGGGTGATTATATTTCTTAGCACTGTAAGCAAGGTTCCAGGACAGATAAACTGAGCAAGACTGGACTGAAGGAAATGAACTGGCCTTTAGAGGTTGAAGAGGGTCTTCTTCCTGCCCCATGGAGGATGACATGGGACCTAGCTGAGAACACCTCTACTCAAACCAAAGGCCACTTCAGGCAATTTTAAAGAACAACTCTTTCAGCCCGACACGTGGGGTCATTCCCTAACCCCCACAAGTGATGACAGCTGGTGCTTATGGCCACAGGAGACATAGGATGCAGAGGCATGACACTGTGTGCATGTGCCACTGAAACCTGTGGAAGAAATGCTGTCCCAGCAAACCTGCGAGGGTGTCCTGAAGCCTTAAAAGCAGGAACCTTGAGCCTAGGCCTCTGTCCATCCCATTAAACAGGAACAGTACAATAACATGTCTGAGTCTCAAGTATTGGGGTTGACTTGCATGGCAAGGAAGCAGCTCCCTGTAGAGATACCCAGAGCAATTACTTACCACTTCTTTCCACACCAAACTCTTTTCCGCTTAGAATATGGTGTAGGAGATTTTTCATATCAAAAGGGCTGAGGTTCATCAAACTCTCAGAAGCTTCTTCTCCTACAAACAAACATCTTGTAAGTTTCCCAGACCCAGGACTGGTGGCAGGTGAAGGCACAGTCATAGTACAGACGTAGTGGACCTGGGTGGGAGGGAGTGACAAAGGATGTAGTGGCAGGTCTCCTGTTCAGGATCACCTCACTGGCACTGCAGGGCTGAAAGGCACTGGTCCCTGGGGATTCTAAATGCTGTTGTTTAAATTGGAACCATATTTGCTTAATTCCTAGACACATATTTTTTCTCTCACTGCCCTGATCCCTGATGCTGGGATGTGTCTTGTGATTGCTATTTATTTTCAATTGGGAGGATTCTTCCCAGTGAAGTTGTTACTAAATGGAGGATGACATCTCACAGCAAGAATAGCAGGAAGGAGCTTAGCTATTAGGTACAGAAATGGTAAATATCACTAGTGCCTCCTTGTCCTCCCTATCTTAGGAACTCCAGTACCCTGCACCTATGTGGTCTGACAGGCCGATGGCATTGGAAGCCAACAGGAATATTTGAGCAGGGGTCCCCTCAGAGCAAGGCCTCAAGGCCAGGTGCCGGGTAGGAGCTTCAGAAGCCACTGCCTCTCACCTGAGCAGTTCAGGCTCCTTGCCAGCTCTGTAGCCATCACCTGAATGATCAGCCCAATCCGGAGTCGAAGCATCTCCACAAAGAGGCTAGGCTGGGCCCTGACGTACATGGCGAGGTAAACCACAATCTCCTGGCAAAGACACACATGGGGACAGGGTTTCAGAGACCCAGTGGATGACCAAGGGGCCCCCTGGCACTCTGAGGAAGGCTGTCACCCCTCCCATGCCAGCCCCGGACCTGTGTGAGGACAGCGATGCTGATGTCCTGCCCGCTGGCCTCGTAGATGAGTTTTGTGAGCTCCTCTGGAGGAAGAGGCCTAGGAAGGAGCAGGCCACAAATATAATGAGGTGCCTGGGATTAGGGCCTCCTTGCCCTTCATGAAAGATACCTGTTTTCTGTGCAAGTGCCCATGTGACAGAGGGACTCCTGAATAGTACAAAGCCCTGCTATTTTCCCATTGTTCTCCCACAAACCTGAGGTCTCTGGGCTGTGGACTTACGCCGAGATAGTCTTCTCCCGTGGCTCAGGCGGTAACCCCACAGTGAGCTGCTTCTGGTGGGACAGCAGGTCTGCACAGGCCTAAACATGTATTTGGGAGAAAGGGTGAGAGAGGAAAAAGGGAAAGGGGTTGGGGTGGGAGAGAGATTAGGCAAAGCCAACTGGGTCATTGCCAGTAAAGTCATAAACTTACCTTCACAATCATTATGATCCACATTGCCCTTTGTTTGACAAATTCATACACAGATCCCAGACTAAGCAACCTAGGCAGGGCTAGGTCTTTGCATCTCCCAGGTGTGGCCCCAGGCCTGGCTCTGCAAGGCCCATCAATAGGTATTTAATGCCCATCTACTGCAGCAGATCCCTTAGGTTCCCTGATACTTGACAAGGCAGGATGAGTCCTTAAGTAGTGATGGTAAGAAAGAATGGCCACATTGTATTCCCAAATTACCAGTTTCTCCATTTCTCACATATAATAAATACCACGACCTTGCCCGAATACTGAGCTTCAGTGTTGTAGGAAGTGGTTCTGGATTTGGCAGGGGCTCAGGGTAATAAATGTTAATGATCACTGTACTGTGGATGTGCACAAATAAGAGAGCTATGTTTCAGAGGTTGTGTTGCCACAGAGTGTCTTCATTTGATTTCTTGGCAAGCCTTTTTCTGTGGTTAAGAATGAACCAAACTAATCAACTTGAAATTTCTTCCCTCTGCTTGCCTTCCCAGAGCAGTGGGAGGTCAGGAGAGAAAGGCTTGCCCCAGTTCTGGATTAGGTCTCCATTTTCCTTTACAGTTAAGAGGCACTTGCCTCGAGAGTTTCTGTAACTCCAAGACTGGAAGAGGAAGAGGAAGAAGACAAAGGGCAAGAGGGGATGAAGGACAACCCAGCAGGCATGATTGCTCTGACCTCAGCAAGGACCTCCACCTTCTTCCTGAGCAGGCCTGAGATGTAGCGAATCAAACCCCACTCTTGGTTCAGGCCGGCTTTGCCATAGAGCTCACTGAGAAGATTGTGAACAGTGACCCCATGCTGTCCTGAGAGATTGGTGTCCCAGTTGGGACCCCTGTCAAGAGATAGAAAAATGCAGAGATTTTGGGCCAGAATGTTTAGACTGCAAGAGGAATGAATGTCAAGGGCTCTGGTACTCCTAGTGCCTCAGCCTCATTGAGAGGGTTCCATACTACCAAAGCATCCCTATGTCCTTTGAAACAGAAGATTAATATAAGGACATTGTAGGATCCTGGCCTCATTCAGCCTTCTTGTTCTGGGAGGTAAGCATCAGTAGGCAAAGAAGGGGATGGAAGACTTATTCATGGTGATCTTGGGTATCTGGAGTGAATATGATCATGACCTGGGTTGCTGCAGGCTGAGAGACTAGGAAAATGAATTAATTAAGGAGAACTGAGAAGGCTCAACCTAGTGAAACTATAAATCTACTGTTGTGGCCTGAATGTTTGTATGCCCCCTGAATTTCTGATAAAATGCTAAACCCCTCAGGATGATGATATTTTGGGGTGGAGCCTTTGAGAGGTGATTAGATCATGAGAACAGAACCCTCATGATTGAGATTAGTGTCCTTGTAGAAGAGGCCCAGAGAGCTAACACATCCCTTCTACCATTGAGGACACAAGAAAGCTGGCTCTCACCAGACACTGAATCTACTGGTACCTTGGTCTTGGATTTCCAGTTTCCAGAACTATGAGAAATGCATTTCTGTTGTTTATAATGCCAATTCGTATTGTATTATAGCAGCCCAAACAGACTAAGACAACTTACTTTATTACATAAAGGATGTACAGGATGTCTGCTTGGTCCTGCAGATTTGAACAATCTTTCAGCTGTTCAACTAGCTTCTCACAGTCCACATCACCATGGTCATCTCTGGGCCACTGGAAGTCATTTTCAGGAGCCTGGCCATATAAAAGTAAAAAAGTAGGAGAGGGGTTGAATGTAGGAACTTTCAGATGATCAAGAAGTAAAACACCAACTTGGTCTTTGAACTCTGGCACTGTGCTGGACCTATTTTTTAGTGAATATTTTATACCTTTTTATTTATAGGCTTTTACTATTTTTGATCAGTGGATCACCATGTTGACAAATGTTTGCAAGAAATTGGAACAGGTTAAAATATGTGTAATTTTTATTTATGCCAAGTTCGAAAACAGGGAAAACTAATCTCTGCTGTTAGAAATTATAATGGAAATTATGTTTGGACTATACGGGGAGGAAATGACTGAGAGGGAACCAGAGGTGGCCATTTGTATATTGGCTCAGTGACAATTCATTTTAGTCTATACTTAAGCTGTATGTACCTTTCTGTCCATATATTATACTTTGATAAAATGGTTTTTTAAAAGCAAAATAAACACAAAATGCATGTTTTAAACAATGTAAAATTGAACTTAGTTTAAAATTTCTCCAACAGGCACTGGATATTTTGATTCATGTGAGCTAAAATCAAGGGGAGACTTCATAATAAAATAACAAATTATGGGAAGCAACAAGGAACAGCCTGAGATTTTTATGCTCCTAAGAACTCTCTTCCTGGTTTTCATTACATTAAGAACATGAGTAACAGAGCACTGTAGCCTGTTCTGCACGTCATCTGCCTCGGCTGGCTGACAGGACAGGCCAAGGGGACAGATAGTTCACTTCTGCCAGCACCACCTGGGTTGTATGGGTCAGCAAAAAGGTAGTGACCTTTCCTATAGGCAAAATATAAAGGTTTGCATCAAATTTGGTGATGATGCCTATCATATTCCAGACAACTAAGGGATTGGATTCACATCAAAACTTGGAGCTTCTAAATGGAAAAGTTCTGGATATCAAGAAATACAGTCTTTCTTTTGAGTTCCAACATTTAAGAAAGTTGTTGGGACTAACCCAGCATTATAAAGCATCATGCCTTTTAATTTTTAACTATTCCAAATACTTTACCTTTTTTAGGAGTGGCTGAGGAGAATCAACAAGATTCAATGACTTACGGTGCACACTTAGAACTTTAGTTGGCAAAGTCATGGGAACGACTGGAAAACAAAAATAACAGAGAGTGCTTCTGAAGAGGAACAACGAAGTACTCTTTTGAGAGGTGTGGTGGCTACTCCTCATTTAATACAATCCAACTGAGGAATGACTACTTAGTTTAGCCAATTTCAATGAGAATTTATCATGTAGCCACTTCATGTGCTAAATTTGGGAATGAGAAATAAGCAGGAAATGACTTTTTGCTTTGAGAGAATTTCACTTTTCCCTCCTAGAACTCAGGGGAAATTACTCAACATCTTAGGACTGGAATGAGACTTAGAGAGATTGAGTCAGACCTCTCCCCACCCCATGAGAAAACTGAGACCCAGAGAGGGTAGACTGTTTATTTGTCCAAGGTTACAAGGGTTCCATAATCCAGGTGTCTCTGCTTCCTGTTCGGTATGCATTTCATTCTACCACTGCTGGGTGTTAGGTCTTATGTTTAAACCATCTTTGAATATTATTATCTGTATTCATTCATTAATCCATCTCTGTCTTCTAGGCTATTGTATTGTCTCAGGAGACTAGGAAGTTTCCAAGATAAAAACTGATGCATATTTAAAAGTCATTTATAGCTGGGCATGGTGGCACATGCCTATAATCCCAGCAACTCAGGAGGCTGAGGCAGGAGGATTCACAAGTCCAAGGCCAGCCTTAGCAACTTACTGAGGCCCTTAGCAACAGCATGACCCTGTCTCAAAATAAAAAATAAAAAGGGCTAGGATGTGGCTTGGTGGTTAAGTACTCCTGGGTTCAGTCCCTGCTACCAAAAAAAAAAAAAAAAAAAAAAAAGGTATTATAAGTGCCCAGGTTACACTAGTGAGTCAAATCAAACAGTGGAATTTTACTTTGTTCCAAATCTCCACTCAGAACGTGGAAAATAATTTCTTTTTTAAAAGATAAATCCTTAAGAATGGGGGGGGGAAGAGAAAGGTAGTAGTGACAAGATTTTGGAAGTGGAAAAACCAATGGATGAAAGATGACCGATTTAGTAGATATAAAGCAACCAAAGCCCAAGTCTACAGTGGGGAAATACAAGAACCAGTGAGATTTACATCAAAGAATCTCCAGAAGTCTTAGGAACTTGCTTCACTATGTGCCTCTGAAATTGGGGATTCAAAGGGGGTGATCAAAATAAGGAAGACTGGAGAAAAGCTATGTGGGAAGCAGTGAGCTCCCTAGATGCCCTCCTCAACTCACACAGTGTGGGGACCACCTTGCTCACTCTGACAGGAGACTAGAGGGTTTCTCTGAATGGAGTAAAAGAGGGAGGGTGACTAGGTTAGGGGCTGACCAGTACATATAAAGGCCTGAGTGCATTCCTTATGGAGACTAAGTAGCTGTAGAGATCCAGGCAAAAACACCCTACCTTTCAAGTAGGTGCTATAGAACATCTCTGGGAAATCTGACAAGTCTACAGCCATGCAGCCCTGAGGCACAAGTCCTACCCACATTCTTGGAGGAAGGATTCTAATGTGAAAAGACAGAAACTTAAACAAAGAGGATAAAGGTGACTGGGGGAAAGGGAAACCATTCAGGGAGAACAAAATGTAAGCCCAAACAAAAACAAAACATGCCCCCCCATTAATGTTCTTAGAATAATAAGAAATTATATGGCTTGCATGAAACAAGAACAGATGAAATTTGGGAACTAAGATTTAAAACTCAAAAGCAATTACACTCAGAACAGACAGAAATATGGAAAAAAGAAGAGCAATGATAAAGACTTCTCTAGGAAGTCAATACTAGAATCAAAGAAATACTAGAAAGTGAGAACAAGGAAAATATAAGAAAGGAAATGATTCAAGAAAGTTTTCAGAAAAACTACATGATTGAAAACTATAACTTTCCAGACTGGAAAGGCCTGCTAAGTTTGACCCAACACAATGGATGAAAATATGCAGATCACAACACATCACTAAAATTTCAGAACTGGGAAGCAGGAAAGATCCTAAAAACTTTAAAGAAAAAACCAGTTTAGGGCTGGGGCTGGGGCTCAGCAGTAGTGCACTTGCCTGGCATGTGTGAGGCACAGGATTTGATTCTTAGCACCATGTATAAATAAATAAAGGTCTATCAATGACTAAAAAAAAAAAAAAAAAAAAAAAGAAAAGAAAAAAACCAGTTTATACTGGAAGGATAAAAAATCAGAATGGGTTTAGATTTCTCAATAGCAACACTGGTAGCAAAGATAATGAAGTGATGCTTTAAAAATTCTGAAGAAAAATATATTTTCAATCTAGATTTCTACCCAGCCAAACTCTCAAATGGATATAGAATTTTTTAGATATTTTCAGACCTGCAAGTTCTCAACAATGTAACCCACCATGTGCTGTTTCTCAGGAAATGACTGGTTGTCCTCACTAGAATGAGAGAGTGAACCAAAAAAAGGGAAGAGTTGAGAAACAGAAAACACTAGCCAACCCAGGAGACAAGTCAAGGAACCCTCCAGGATGATGGTGAAGGAAGATCCCGGAATAAAAACGACATCCCAGACATGGTGGGCAACCAAGTCAGAAAGGAATTTCAGAAATAAAAAAGTTGAGGGCTGTCATTACCATGCCCTCTTTCATTGTAGTAATTTTTTTTAACCTAGTGAAACTATTCCAGAATGTGTTCCACTAAAACAACAACAACAACAAAAAAGCCACCACCACTAACAACAAATCAGGAAAGGGGAACACACAGGGAACCCACCAGATTCAGGAAACAAGGAATACAACTAATAGCATGAGCCCAAGGAAATTTCCAGGATAATAAGGATACAACAGGTTTAGAGTGCAGTTGGCCAGAAAGGAGGAGACTCACAGACTGTAAGTAGTGGAATCAAGAGATTCATTGATATGGTTACCTTGTGGAAATTGGTATTGTGAGGCCACTGAAGATAGAGCAAGAAATCAAAACAAATAAAAAGAGCAACTATTAACTTAAGAAAAAACAAAAAGTAAAAAATGGTAATATAATCACAATATACTATAATGCCCAGTTGGGAATAATATTTACATACATATAAGAGTAAATACTGATGTAACTAAACTTTCATACAGCTCCCTTGGTAGGTTAAGGGAAGGGAGTACAAGAGTGGTGAGTTAAGCCAGCTAAATCCTTACCCATGTAACAGAAAGTCAATAGGTGCCAAGCTTTGATACATCAAAGGACAGAAGTGTACACATATTATTTTAGAGATATGGAGATATATGAATGCCAGAAGAAACAGCTAAAGAAGTTAAAAATGGTCGCTTCCAAGTAGACAGATGGGGGAAGCATTTTGTTATCTTTTAGGATTCTTTTAAATTATGTTCATACATTACTTTGATAAAAGAAGGTATTTTAATAGGTAGAAAAGAGTTCAATAACATACATGGAATTTCCAAACCCTTTGCTTTGGCCATCACAGAAAGTATGTCCCGAGTGGAGTGGATGGCACTGAACACATGGAGATCTTCTGTCTTTTTACAGAGAGGGGGCAGGTAGCACCTCAAGGATGTGCTTTGCAGAAGGTGGTTCATATACTGGTCGAGTTCGTCTTGGCTTTCTATAACTGGACAAGCAAGAAAAAAAGCCAATGAATACAAGCTACAGAAATATCCCAAATGCCTAATAGTGACTGTGTGTAGTGGGCAGTGCCAAGTAAGTTAGTGAAAGGAGACATTTAGATACAGATATTGACATCTTTACCCACCCCATGAGGTAAAAAGATAGAATGTATGTGTGTATAAATTTATTGTTCAGAAAAACTTCTTCCTGGGGAAACAAAACACAGGTCAAGACAATTGTTTACATGACATCATCCTAAGATGAGCTGCATAGTACCTGAAGGACAGCAGCTGACATCAGTCATTTTGTTTTAATTCGTTAAGAGCTAATAAACTTGTGGAATTCTCTGCTCCAATTCCAACTACTATCAAAAAGCAAAAGCCAGGTCACTTTGACCCAACTGTTTGTTCAGATTAAGAAAGGTTATATACATGAGGTTTCCTTCCTCATATCTAATTGAACCCAGATGGTTCTACCATTCCTTTGACAATTCAAGCAATGTGTTTCTGTCTTCAGAATATATTTTGTGAGGACTTGGGGTGCAGCTCAGTGATAGAGTGCTGGCCTAACTGGCATGAAGCCCTTGGTCATCCAGGGTTAGATCTTAGTTTAAAAAGCTGTCAAAAACAGTTCAAGGAGTAAGTTGAAGCAAACAGTGCAAATGAACTCAAGGTGCCTAAGCTTCAGTAGGCAAGTGAGCTATATCCAAACACACACACACACACAATGAAAAGTCCTCATACTTGAAACTCTTCATCCCTCTGGGTTTAAAAAAGCCCCACTTTCAAAGGCATCATTTTTAGTTTAGATTTATATTTTAATTTTTTGTAGTTTAGGGTTTTAGGGCAGTTTTATCAGAGTACGAAGGTTTAAATAAATTCAAGGAAGCACCCGCAAAAGCATTCCATGTGATACCTTGATTGCAGGTGTCTTCCCCATATCCTCCCAGATCTGAGTCACTATCAGGGCTGAAGCTCCCTTCACTGGCATCATCAAACAACTTCTCATCGCAGTCTGGATCCAGGAAAGTCAGATACGTGTAGAATGATGTGGTGAGGAATTCCGACAGGTTCCCTAATTTTACTCTGCCAAAAAGACACTATGTTAAGGGACATCAATGGAGTGTGGACAAACTTCCACTATGAATCACTGGGGGACTTTTCAGTAACCAGGTGGTGCTTTTGCCAGAATCAATAAATTTATCACTCAGCAGATCACCCTAACTAGTCAGCCAAGAAATTATAACAAAAATTCAATAGCAAGTATGAAGTGAAAGCATGTAACATATTAAAAGTCAAAATAATCATGCCAATTTCTTATTCCAACCCAACACAAATACCAATCTATTTTACTGCACCAACCAAAACTTATTTTACAAAATAAATTGAGCAAACACTTTGAACCAGAATCAATGTGTGGTGTTCCCCCCCCCCACCCCCTAAAATGAATGGGCCAGAAGCAATCATTCTCCTGGTACACTTGTCCTTACCATGAAATGTGGTTACACAGGCATAGGAGGGGTACTTCCCTCTGGGCTACCAGTGATGGAAGAAGCATGTCTTAGAGTCAAAGTTCTCTCTAGAAGGAATCTGATGAACCCACTATCCCCAAACTGGAGCAGATGTCCTGAGTGGCCCATTGGGTTGAAAAAAGTTCCACTGGAAATTGGGAGCCAGGATTGGCAGCCTGGGATCCCCACAGAGGCAGCAGCCCCCAAGTTCTGAAGTTCAGTCCCTAGATGCTGGGAGTGCATGGGATTTCCACCCTACAAAGACATTCTTGAAATGACAGACCAGAAGTGAAAACAAGATACTTCCCACTGAGCTACCAGCATCAGATTAGGACTTAGCTTCAATAGTACTGTTCAAGGAGTAAGTTGGAGCAGGCAACGTAACTGAATTCACAGGTGCTTGGGCTTCCAAGGGCAAATGGGCTGCAGATAGCCTCAGGGAAAAAAAAAGTCTACCCTTGCCTGAACAAAAAACTTTGCCCTGGAAAGCCAAGGGCCTACTTCTAAGGATTATTTTGTTTTGCCTTGGCAGACAGGGTGTCACTAAGTTGCTTAGGGCCTGGCTAAGTTGCTGAAGATGGCCTCAAACTTGTAATCCTCCTGCCTCAGCCTCCTGAGCTGCTAGGAATTATAGGCATACACCACCACGCCCGACTTCTATGAATTATTCTTAAGGTGACAGTATACTACTGTCAAACATTTATATAGCACTTGATGAGCCCTAGGCACTTGGTGTTTTCTTCCATGATTTTTAACAGAAACTCAGTACTCCATAAAGGTATTCCAAGAAGGACATCACTTTAGAGAGGTTGATGTGCCCACCTTCCTATGCCCAAGACCACCTAGTGCCTGCAAAAGTTTGACAACCAAATGCTGTTTCAGGAGGAGGTAAATTTTAAATCCTTGTTTTTTTTTTTAACTTTAAATACCATGTTTCTAGGTTCAGCAATTGAAGTGAAAATTGGTATGAAAAATGGGAGAAGGGCAGCAAAAGATTTAAGAAATTACCTAGCTCCTCCGAAATATCCGTCCTCTAGTTTTCTAATTGTAGAAAGAACTGCAGAATGAATGTCTGAGCCATCATTTGCTGAAGGAAAAAAAAAAGTGATGATGAGTTTACTTAATCTGGGAATACATTTTTTTCCAGCTATACACTGAAATGTTTTCATCAGCACAATCTAATTAAATTCCTTATGGCACAGAAGACTCCTGGGATAAGAAGCCAAGCTGCTAAGGAGTCCCTTCAATACTCAGCTCTGTCCATAGGATCTATTCTAAACACTTGGAAAAGGACCCAACCACCCATGGGACATGACCCAGCCAGATGGAATTCAGGAAATTACTGAGCATGGTGTGTGTGACGGGGAAGGTGAGTGTGGGTCTGCCTGTCATCCGCCAGCAGGTGCACAGGTAGGCCAGCTCGATCCTCAGCATCTCCACCATCATCTCATTGTCCAGGGCCAGGTAGAAGTGATGCTGGTCGGTGAACTGAAAGTCAGAACAGGTCAAGTAAATAGCCACCCTTCGTTTATCTCCACACAACACCAGCTGTCTCTCAGGGCAGCACTAATCCTGGAGTTTTGTTGCCAGGGAAGATGCTCAGTGCTGTCCTTAATCCACCCATCATGGGGCCACTCCCCTTGAGATCAGACAAATCATCTTGTCATCTGCCCAGAAGCTGTGGTTAAAATAGCACAGAAGGCAAGGGTGCACTGCTAGATTTGTTTTCAGCTCCTCCAATGGAGGACTTAAGTGCTTTGCCCAACACCAATGTCTCTGAAAGCAAACCAATAACTCCTTAATTCCTACTCCTTCCAGGGCTACTCAGTTTGGAGATGCTTTCCAAGTGAGGCCTTGAGAGGAGGTGAGATGTGGAGACACTGTTCACCTGATTGATGCCTGGTTAATGCCAACTCAAAGCACTGCTGCCTGATGTCGATGAAAATCAAATTGTTCTCCTGACCTCTGGACTAGTGTATGCTCAGCTCTGGACTGAAATTTGGTGCTAAGGGAAAAAAATTCACAAGGTTTAATTGATCAGCATGGGCTCAGATGAAAAATAGCAGCTTGGGGCTACTGATCCAAGACACCACAGTCAACCCTGTATCCAAGTAAGCTGGGGCTATGCTGTGCCCCATGCTGACAAAGCAACCCTACCATTCATCTTTCTAGCTGTTCAAAAAGTTTGGTTTAGTGCTTCCACAGGGCTAGTTTTCTTGGGAAACAAAAACACTGAAGATAAGTTCCATAATCAGTATATCCTGTAGCCCAATAAGGGGGCTAGGGTCTGGAAATCCAATTGACAAGGGTTAAGAACTATTAAGATTAGAAGCACAAGGGTTGCAAGTCAAGTGACATGTCACTAGCAAATTTGTAAAGCAGTGTGACTTTCACTAATATTGATGACTGGGAGTAATGACACATGCAATTTGGTTCAATCAACATTTATGAACACATGTACAAGGTACTAGGTATCACTTCATATGTCTCCATCTGAACTTATGCATGCAGAATTCTGCCATGTCTGTTGAAGAAAAGCTTACCAGACAGAAAAGAGGACTTAATAAAAGGATGCTGGTGGGTTTGCCACTGGCCTACTCTTCTCACCTGGGGTGTAAAAGTAAATATTTGGTTCCTAATCACATAGAGTTTAGAAGTTCCAAGAACACCAATATGCCGATATGGTCGCCCACTCAGCTTCATATTCTTATTTCGTCCTATTTATAAAATAAAAGAAACACTAGAGTTAGAGGAAATATAGTAACAAGTAAGTAATCTAGTAACTCAGGGTAAGGCTGGGCTTATTTTTATGTTAGATAACCCACTTTTTTTTTTCCTTCAGTGCTGGAGATGGAATCCAGGGCCTCATGCAAGCTAGGCAAGTGCTCTACCACTGAGCTACATCTCCAGCTTGTACTGTTGTCCTTTAAAAAATGTGACAAAGTTGAATATAGACACAAATTCTACCCGCTTCTATTCATGCATGTATATGAACAGCACCAGTTCAAATGTGGACAAAGTGAACTTATTGAAAGAACTTTATTAATGCTGACTTTTATTTAGTATTCAGCCATAAAACTAAACAAAGTCAAGTTCTAGAAAACTAAAGAGAACCTGCTTCTATTTTAATGGGTAAATGAGCATTTTCTAATACCACAGATAAAAATTAGAAGTATTGTCAAGACACAAATGACTCTTCCTGTTGTGAATTTTCCAAGGTGGCTCCTTATTATACACTAGATCTGCCAAACGGTCAAGCCAGCCTACAGCAGTACCCACTGAGCAGGCTGGGGAGCAGGTACTTGTTTGTGCATTCTCCTTCACATCACGGTGCAATCACCTGCTTAGTGTTTTGCCCAACTCTTCAGACCACAAACGTAGAACTGAGGTACTCCCTTGGCAAATGAGCCCCCAACCTACCAAGCTTGGCATATATGTGACTGAGAATCCGGCCTGGCTGGACTCGAATTGGATGAATGTCAGCAATACTCTGGACGTTTACCCCATGTTTCCTCAACAGCTCCTTAATGTGACTGTTTTCTGCCAAAACAGTGACTGTGAACAAGAACATAGAATCAGCATCAGATTGTGCCTCATGTCTCTGCACTCTAACATGCTATTTATTGTCCTTTCTTCTGCCTGAGAGGCACATTAACATGCTCTCCACACGTTATTTGGTCTTGGAAATGGTGGCATTGGTCCTGCCACTCTTCTTGGTCCTCTGTCCTTGCTACCCCTCAACACCCATGATACATATTTGTTAAGTGCCTTAATGTGCACTTCTAGAAACTGTCTTCAATAGGCCCTATGCCAAATTACCCCATCTCAAATAATGATTTGCCTCCCCTGGATCTGCATTTATTGTAAACCTGTTGTGTCCCTTTTACATTGGGTCAGGAGTGAACACAGCTCCCTCAGGGGATACCAAGAGAAGCCTGCACTCTGCTCCTTAGAGCAGGGAAAAGAAGAACATTGTGATGTCTACTTTCAGGGGACACTGACTGAGGGGGAGGGGGAGACTTCCTTCCCTCCAAAGGAAAAAAAAAAATGGGCCTGCTAATGGGGATGCTGTGGAAGTAGGGAGCTTGGCCTACCTGGAACCATAGCATAGGACCCTACAGGTGGGAAGAGCCCTTTAGAGCTAGCCTAGACCTCATCTCCAGTGGGTGAGGCTGGGACCCATACTCCTGCAGGCCCGGGGCTCTGAGTGTCTGGGATCTGGGGGCTGTGAGGGTGGGAGACCTTCACTTGAGGCCACATTAGTACAGCATGTACAGCCCAGGGATCAGCTGGGCTGTACATGCTGTACGAATATTGATGGCCTTTTATAAGAAAGGGCAGTGCTTTGGCAAAGATAAGGAGTCTGGATAGGCAGAAGGGGGAGTACAGACACAGAGAGATGGCTGGTACTTTGTCCAGCTACACAGAGCTTTCTGGGAACTTGGAACAGAGTGATAAGGCCAGAGAATGAAGGCTCAGCTACTATTAATGTGGCCCCAAGTTCCACCACTATCCCCATGGGCTGGGGGTAGGGGGCTGAACATACAATACATATAAATGCCACTGAGAGCTGACTGGCACCTCCTTAAATTTACATAGCACTTGGTGCTTTTAAAAGTATTTTAACACTCATTATCTCATCTGATCTTCATAACGTGCCACTGAAAGAAGCCTTGCATGATGACCTGGCCAGTTGCAGCCGATTCAGGACTGGAACCTAATCCCTCAGGTCCTAGCAAGTGAGGCTGGAGGGCTTCCTTTGACATCTTTCCCTTCTGAAGCTTTCAGTAACTTGCAGAAATCCACATTTTATTCAAAGCCACATAGTGGCCACTCTATAGAGTGACTCTTTTAGAGCAGTGGTTTGGACTAAGACCTGGGAGCCTCATGATCCAATGCAGTCATATGTGGATAAGTTTCTGAAACTATATTTTCCTTCCTCCATGCCAAATACTTTAATAATTTTCACTCTATTCTATTACATTAAAAAAAAATGTGGGCCAGGACCCATCAATGTGTCCTGGCCTGCAGTTGGAAGAGCAATCTTGTAGATTTAAGGCACTAATTAGCAGAATGTGCTCTGGTTAAGCACTGGGACCATGGAGTGCAGCTGGACCAGTCCATCTGGAAGTCAGAAATAGATTCATACCCCAGCTTTCATCTATGGATCCCTGAGTAGGTTAACTTCTAAGTCTTGCCTGTAAGATGGAGATAACCATAATTGTCACAAATTTTACCTGATCAGAATATTATAACAGTTAGATGTTTCCCACTTTGGACCTGCACACAGCACTGACTGGAATGACAACCTGCTGCTCATCTTATTGCATCATGGGCGTGTGCAGCGAAATGAGCCAGTGGTCACAAAGAGGAATGCTTTTCATTTCTTTAATCGCCACTTTCAATGTATGCATGTGTAGGTGCTAATCAACACAGAAACGAATATGGCTTTGTCCTAATCGTACAGTGGGCTATGGTATTAGATGGCATGTGAGTGTTCTGTGAGGCAACATGTGATGGAGCTGCCAGAAGGTCCTCTAGAAGAGGAAGGAAGGAGAAGGAATCACTGTTCTGGGGGCATACCTCAGGTGGAGCCCTGCACTGCCAACTTCCCCCATGGCAATCTCAGTTCTTCTCAAGAACATCTGTGGAGGGGGCAGGAGTCCTAACAGCCTGGAGATGCACAGCAGTGGAGTCAGGTGCAGTCACTCTGTGGCAGCCCAGGCTGGCCTCCTACCTTTCTGGATGAGGAGCTGGCTAGAGAAAAGGGAGGGGAGGTGGAGGTGGGTGGAAGGTGGAGAGAAGTCAGAACTCCACGGAGAGGACCCTTGCTTGCCTTCTGAGATTTTACCAGGCTCAAGCTCTACTTTTTAGATTCACAGTTTTGAAAAATGATGCTAAATGAATCATATGGGCTTCAATTGCAATCAAGGTTTAGATTCAAGAAAAACTAATGCTTTGTAGAAAGTAAATTTATAGTTGGGAAGAATACTGTCCCTTTTGGGAGTAACTGAGTTATATAAAGTATCTCACAGAACTGCTATACACTAAAAGAGCATGCACACACGCACACACCACACACACACACACACACACACAATTTTTTAATTAAATAAGAAACTAGGGAACAATTTAAATGCAAAAAATGACATTGGTTTTACAACTTAGAGATGAATAGTAAACATGCTCACAAACCTTGTACTACAACATCAGGTTTGACTGAAGTAGAAAATCTTCTATTTAAGGGATCAATTTCACCAGTGGCAAGGAATCCCTATGAAGAGAGGAGTGGTGACACTATGAAATATTGATTTAACTAAAATTTCACCTTATACTTAAGTTAGAAAGTGACATATCTCGGGGCTTAAAACACTCAAGATTTTTTCTTTATGTTTTACGAGTCAATGGCTTACTTTCTCTGAAACAAAGTATGCCATTCAAATTGCCACTGACAGATGGACTGTATGTCTGACAGCTGGCTCTGCAGGGCTAATCAAATGCATCTCCATCTTGTGTGAGTGAAAAGAATGGTAACTAGTATTTCCTGAGCTCCTCCAAGTGTCAGGTGCTGGTGGAGCCCTATGTGTGCACTATCCCATTTAGGTCTCCTAACAGGTAGGTTCTACCTTCATCATCAATTTACAGGTGGGGAAACTAAGGTAAAGGTACCTGAGGGATATGAAAGAGTGAGTACCTGGCCCAGGGCTGACTATTTTGAACCACAAAAGTTTCCCCACCCTTCCAAGTGTGCTCTTTGAATACGCATCACCTTGAACTTTCTGGAAATGTTCCAGAGCCCCCAAAGAGGGAACCAAGGTGTTCTGGTAACTCTGTGGAGGAAGTGGACCTAATATGAGCCCAGAGAAAGGCCTTTATGGTGGAGAGGAGGAAGCAGAGGAGCACAGTTATTTTCCATTTCACTGATACAGAAATCTGAGCTGGAAGGTACAGATAAGGAAACCGAAGCCCAGAGAGGTTAAAAGGTCTGCCCCAAATCACAGGGCTGGCTTTCTGAAGTAGACAGATACTTTTTCCCTACTGAAGAGAGAAGTGTGAAACACAGTCCATACTCCCAAGGGCATTGCCATGAAACCAGACACAGCCAGGGAAACATTGCTCCACCTTCAGCAATATAGCTCCTGAGGGTTACTTCCACTGTGCCATCTTTCATTTAGTCTAGAACACACCAGGAACCCAGAAGCATTCTGTCTCACTGCTGCCTCCCCCATTAAAGAGCTGGTAGAACACACAGGGATGAGCCACCCTCAGAGGCTGGCAATCCTTTGCTGTCTTTCCTGGGCTCCTTCTCCCACACCCTTCCCCAAAGGCCCAGAAAGCTCCACTAGAGCCACACTTAGGACTGGGAGGTTTATTTTGAGGCTGTCAAAAGCATGTGCATTTTACAACAGAAGCCTGGGGACAAATAAATGTTCAGCAAGGGGCTGGTGATGCACACCTGTAATCCCAGCAGCTGGGGAGGCTGAGACAGGAGGATCGCAAGTTCAAAGTCAGTCTTAGCAATAGTGAAGTGTTAAGCAACTCAGTGAGACCCTGTCTCTAAATAAAATATAAAATAGGGCTGGGGATGTGGCTCAGTGGTCGACTGCCCCTGAGTTCAATCCCTGGTACTCCCCAACCCTAGCCAAAAGGCAGAAGGAATAGGTCAAGAGGCAGGAGACTCTGGGGGAGCGGGTCGCGAGTTGGAGGTTGTCTGAGGGACCACCTGGACCTGCTGCCTCCTCTAGTAGAGAGATCTGGAAGTCCTCCTGTTTCCTGTGCCTGGGGCTGGGGCCAGGGCAGCTTCACTCATCCCATCCCATATCTTCCAGGATCAGATGTGCTAATCCTGGTTAAGAAATGTCTAGCTCCTGCTGACCATCAATTTATATGCATTCTAGCCAGAGACAGGAATGTCAGCAGGAGGGGGGACAGGGAATTTTGGCATGTGGCTGATCTGACCTGGTTAATGTAAATATGAACACACTAGGATAGGAGTCAAGCCTAAGAGCCAACACAGTGCATTTGATTTTAAAGGCAAGAATATGCAAAAGACATGGAGATGCAGAAGACACTGACAATCACGCTGTGCAGACAGTCCCTGTGCTCTTCCAGGATTCCATAAACCTCCATTCAGATGGTTTCCAGCCGGTGAAGTCACCAAGCCCCCTACCTCTGCCAACAGGGAGCTGAGGATGTACAAGGACTGACCCCAGAGATGGGGCAGCTTCCCCAGAGGAACTCTGTCCACCGTGTGAGGATTCTTGTACTCTTCATCCACCTGACAGAGAGAGCAAAACCCAAAATCAGACCACCAGAGGATAAAAGGGCCAGTGACATCTTACACTGAGGAGCACACTGAGGATTTACAAAATGGTTCTCATTCTCTAGACCAATTCTGTGCAAGTGCCAGGATGTGGGACCAGGAAGGTAAAAAGACCCTCTCTTTGGGCAGCATGACTATAAGCAGCAGAAATGTCAAATCTAGGCCTGGTCCCAGGCTAGTGCTTTGCCCATAAGCACACTATGGGCAGTAAGTGCAGGAAGCCTGGACTATGTCCTTCATGCACACCTCTGGGCATCAAGAAGTTCCACAACTTGTGCTTCCATATGGCTGTATTACGGGTAAAAGGGTCAAAAACAGCAGCCTTCAGCTGTGGCAGTACCTGGCTGGATGTCAAGTCTAGTTTCTTCTCTCTTGCTATTGCCAGGGGTATGCCTATACAAGAAAATTACCAGAAGGTGGCACTATTTTTTGTGGAAAAACAATTGTGCTGCTACACCATGAACCCTCCGTCCATCAGGGCTTCAGAAAAGAAAACCCACTGGGAGCTTCTGTCTATCAAAATAAACTCCTGGGCTCTGCTGGACAGTGCTGGCTACCCATTGTGAGTTAGTCTGTGACTTACTCTCTTATAAACTCCATGCTGCCTTTTGAGTTTTTAGTCATTGCAATGTTGGTTGGGGGTAATGTCCTTGACCACTTCCTCCAGAAAACATAGGTTAATTGAAGGAAATAGGAAATACTTATCCTCTATTCTGGCCCTTCTGAACTGCTTGCAGGCGCTCAGATGCACCATGCATGTGGCCTCCTGCACTGCTTCTATCTCTGGACCTAGCTCCTCTGGCCCCACTAGCCAGAACCTCACAAAGATAGCACTGGTTTGGTAACCACATTGGTACTCCATTCCTTAGGTTGGCACCTGGCATAAGCAGCTGCTCACTACACATTTGCTGGGGACAATTTCATTAGTTCCCAACTGTCCAACAGGGGACCCTTTGGCTGGCACAAGTATGGTGGCTGAGATGAGCAAGGATGAAACCAAGCTGTTTGCCACCCTGGCCTCGGGCTTTTGCTAATTTGCACAAAGCTGCCATATGGGCCTGTGGTGGTCCTGTCTCCAGGAATCCTTCCCAGTGGTCTCTACATATTATTCATGTAACCGAGGAACCTTCCTAGTTGTCATTTGTAAGCAGTCAATACAAAATGTAGTTAAGTGATGTGATACAGCAATCTGTATACGGGGTAAAATTGGGAGTTCATAACCCACTTGAACCAAACTGTGAAATATGATGTATTAAGAACTATGTAATGTTTTGAACGACCAACAATAAAAAAAAAATGTAGTTAAGGTAAAATAGTGTCCAAAATTGATGTCTAGCATATAAGCATAAATGTGCTGAATACAGGAGGATGTTGTAATGACAAGCAGAAACTGAAAGATCAGTGTGGAACTTAGAAGAGACAGAGCTTCAGAGTACTTTTTATGATGTGCAGCCAGTGCTGTCCATTAGAAAGTGAAGTGCAGGCCAGGTGTGGTGCACACCTGTAATCTCAGTGACTGGGGAAGCTGAGGCGGGAGGATAGCAAGTCTGAGGTCATCCTCAGTAACTTAGCAAGACCCTGTTTCAAAATAAAAATATAAAGGTCTGGGGATATAGCTCAGTAGTTCAAGTACTCCTGGGTTCAATCTCTAATATCAAAAAAAAAAAAGGCAAAATGCAGCTTATAACACCTACCATTTACTATGGTCACTGCAATGTGCCTTTTGGTAGAATAGGGATGGTTATTCTCTACCATACAATATATAAAATTCCCCGAGATGATTTGTTTTCCTTTTCTCTGCTTCCAAGTTTTAAATTACCCATTACTAATTTTATTTTGCCAATGCCTCAGTATATGAAAAGGAGCAACCTGAACAGGGGATAGGAACATGTAGCTGCTGGAAAATGACCCAGCTCTACCCTCACATCCACAGCACACATAGTAAAATGAATATATTTGCAGGAAATCCAAGTTTTTAACACTCAGAAAACAGTTCCTAGCCAGGTAGAGTGGCACATGCCTGTAATCCCAGCAATTTGTGAGGCTGAGGCAGGAAGATTGCAAGTTCAAGATCAGCCTCAGCAACTTAGCAAAGCCCTAAGCAACTTAGCAAGACCCAGTATCAAAATAAAAAATAAAAAGGGTTGGGGATTTGGTTCAGTGGTTAAGTGCCCCTGGCTTCAATCTCTGGTATCAAAAAAATAAAAAATAAAAAAATAATGAAAAGAGTCCTAGCATGCTCCACAGCTTGATCTGTACAGTGAGAGAAAAATAGTTCTTGTCTTAAATCTTGCCCTTTACTCTGGAACAAAATTACTCCTGAGAGAGCTTGGATGATATGAGCTGTGTGTCCATGCCAGGATGAGGGGGGAGCTTCAAGATTCTGGAGTGCTGGGCCATTGGTCCTGACTGGTGGGGTTGAGTGAGACCATTGGAAAAATACAGCCAGGGGGCTGGGGATGTGGCTCAAGTGGTAGCGCGCTCGCCTGGCATGCCTGCGGCCTGGGTTCGATCCTCAGCACCACATACAAACAAAGATGTTGTGTATGCTGAAAACTGAAAAATAAATATTGAAATTAAAAAAAAAAAAGAAAAATACAGCCAGTTCAAGGTGCCACCCAGTGAACCAGTAGGGAACCAGCAAGTCAGATGGGCTGTTATCAGTGTAAAAGAACTAAATGCACCTAGCAGAACATTCTACTTCTCACAGAAAATCAACTCCTTTCTTTTATTTTCTTCTTGTTTTAATTGGTTCAGTTATCTAACATTTACTAGTTCCTTCTAGATTAAATAAGACCCAAAGTAATACACAGTGGTACTTTTCTGCTTTAAGGATCAAGTCTGAGATTCCTTTAAAATGTATTTTCTAGCAAAAGTAAAGGAAAGTCCACTATACCAGTGCTTTTAGAAACCCAGTGAGAGCAACCATTATGTAAATATTTCTATTAGGTGAAAATATATCACTCATTAGGAGGCAGTGTGGGATTGTGGGGAGGCCCTGAATGTGGGGTCTGGTCCCAGGGCAGAGCCCAGTGCTGTCTGAGCTTTGACATGTTCCCAAACCTCTCTGAACTGAGACCGATTATTTCCAAGGTCACTGCAAGTCCCCTGGCCATATGTATGGCCTGATTCAACCACAGAACACCTAAACCCAAGCTGATTCAGGATAGGCTTCTGCTGGATCCCTGTGGATCTTGGAGAGAGCCAGCTCTCTGAAGGCCTTTTATCCTACAAATGCAATAAGGAAACTTTAAAACACTAGGAGCATGGCAGGGACAAACAGCCTTGAATGGAGAGTTCTTTTCTTATAAACATCAGATGCTTACAGGGAAATCCTCCCACCAAGCCATATAGAGGTCCAACAGACCCAATTTAGGAAACTGGATAGAACAAAATCACCTTCAGTCATCTCCTTGGAACTGGACAGTTTCTCTCTTCCTGATGTACACTGGCTTCTGACAATTACTCAAACTCTAGCTTGGGAACCCCTTGACTCAAAGGAGGAAAGTCTCAATTAACCCCCTAAAATATGTTTCTTCTTCTATGGCAATGTATAAGAACATGGTGCACAACAGTGTTTTGTGCTCTGTAACATTCCTTCTACCTTGGGTCCAGGGAGGGCAGATATGTTCTGAAGGTCTTTAACTGCCACCTCCGTAGGACACTCATGGTCAAGCATGTTCCACATGTTTTCCCTAAAGCCATATTCCTTGTGATGATGGTAACACTACCTAAGGCTTCAGAAACCACTTCTCCTGGGTTGGGGTTGTGGCTCAGTGGTAGAGTGCTTGCCTAGCATGCATGAGGCACTGGGTTTGAACCCCAGCACCACATAAAAATACTAAATAAACAAAATAAAGTATCGTGTCCTTCTACAACTAAAAAAAATATTGTTTAAAAAAAGAAAAGAAACCACTTCTGCAGAAAAAATGCCCATCAGGCCTGGAAGTGGGATGAAGAATACCAAAAGGATAAGCACCGACCAGTTTAGTTCTAGATGAGCAGTGCAAAAGGCTTTGTGCCACATGGTTACCTTGTCAGGTGGGACGGCATAGAGTTCCGGCACCAAGTGGATCCCGTCCTTGCCTCTGATTAATATTCCCTCCAGGGCCTCTCGGTACTCTTGGACCTGGAAAACAGCCCCCTTACCCTCAGTATGAAAAAGGTCAGGTGATTAATGCTGCATTAGCAGCACAACTTAGAAAAATAGTTCTCTTGGCAATAAAAAGATTAGAAGTCGGACATAGGGTAAAGAAATATACAAACATGTCTGCTCCAGGAGCTCCAGAGGGACTCCTGCTGACTGCTCATTCCTCCCTTGCGTGTGTCTAAACTCAGCCCCACCTGTCAAGCTTGTGGGGAAAGGGACAGAATAGCCCATCATGAACTAGCTGTTTCTTCCTTAGAATTCCCACAGTACTCATATCTGTCTTTAACTCATTGTTTAAATATTTTACTCTTCTCACATATTTAAATTTAGTGCTAGGAAGGAGGGTGCACACCTGTAATCCCAGCAACTTGGGAGGCTAAGACAGGAGAATTACAAGTTCAAGGCCAGCCTCAGTAATTTAGTGGGACCCTGTCTCCAAATAAAAAATAGAAAGGGCTAGGGATGTAGCTTAGTGGGGGTAGAGCACTCCTGGGTTTAATCCCAAGCACCACAAAGAAAAAAGAAAAATAGAACCAGCCCCCTGGATATTTAATATTTTTTCTTTGGAGAGCCCAGTCAAATACCTCCCAGATCTAGTTTTCTTTTCATTTTATATTTATGAATGGCAAAGCATGATCATGATTGTATCATTTTACAAATGTCAACAAGACATTTGTATAGGTGTATAGGGTGATAGACTCTGTTGAGGCTTAAAAAACAAAATATCAAGTAGTCATTTTTGTTTTCTCTCCCTGCCTCCCATAATTGTTAAGTCTGTTCACAGTTGAAATTCAAAGTCAATCATTTTGAGATCTTTCAACACTCAGATAAAAAGAAGACATAAGACTCAAGACAATCACTAATGTGCAAGAGTAAGAATCAACAATGAGAGAATAACATTTCAAGCTTAGTGCTTTGAATTCCTGACCAGGGGAGCTTTCAAAACCTAAAATGTATCTGAGATTGCTCATCTCCTCTTCCTCCAAACCCAACAGGCTAAGAAGATAGCAAAGTATCTGAGTCAGTAGGGCTTCAAGTAAGCTTCAAGAGTATAAATCTGCTCTGTTCAACAAAGTATGCTCAAGGCTCAGCACAGTACCTGGTGCCAAGTAGAAGCCAAAGAAATATGTCTTGAACAAATGAGTGCTGCATTAACCAGTATTTACTGAGCATTTACTAAGTACTAGGCCCAGGGTCCTTTGATAGAGAAGTGGGAGATTAAATCCAGTGTGACCCATGCTGCTGTAGGTGCTGTGAGGTGTGGCAAAGGGGTGCCCAACTCAGCTTTTAGGGTAAAAGAAGGCTTTCTCAAAAGCCCACAATGAACTGCGTGAAGGAGTGGGTCAGTTGCAGGTAGAAAGAATGTCCTAGGTCTTTGAGAAGAGTAGCAAGTGAGTTTGGCCTGTTGCAAGGACTGAGAAGGATTTCAGTGTACTGGTTACAAAACTCAAGGAAGGTAGTAAGCAGAAAGGAGTCAGGATACAGTGGTGGAAACCAGACCAGAGCAAATGAGACCCAACAAAACTCATAAAGACCTTGGACTTCATTCCAAAAGCAATCATAAAGCCATCCAAAGCTTTTAAGCAAGGCAGCAGCATAATCTAATTTGTCTTTTAATGAGATCACTCTGGCTTGGCTATAGAGAATAAAAACAACAGGGAGTAGGGCTGGAGATTGGGAGACCAGTTAGGCTGGTACATTAAATAAGAGCTAATGACAGCAAAACTCGAGTTAAACTAGAGGAAATGAAAGCAAAACCACTGGCTCATCTGGAAAGAACAGGAATAACAAAACCAGTCTGGGATAGACAGAAACCATGCCTCCTGGTACCCATGCCTCTGTCTAGTGCCCTCCTCCTTTTGTATGGGATGGCAGTTTAGCTGACAGAATGTGATGAGAATAACACTCAGCCAGTTCCAGACCTAAGGAAAGCTTGGCAGCCTATGCTTTTGTGTTCTGTGGGGAAGGCAACCATCAATGTAAAAAGCCTAATGGCCTAGGGACTTCAATGCTGTGAGAAGTTAAAGCTAGCCATGTGAAGGAGAACCAAGCACCCCCTCAACAGTACAGCTGAGCTCCTAGCATCACTTGACAACCAGGATTAACTCATAAGTGAGGAAGATCCTGTAGGCCCATGGAAACATCCTAGCTGACATCAGGAGAAGCAGAGACAATCTGTCCCTAATGGGCCCTGCCCAAATTGCAGAATCATGAGCAAATAAATAAGAGTTGTTGTTTTGATTCACTAAGTGTCAGGAGTTTGTTAAACAGCAACAGGTAACTGAAAGAATGACTTAAATTTTTACATAACCTATGTTCTACTAATAATTAGCATGACAGTAGGGTGAAAAAGCTTATTATCAGCACAACACCTGCTATATTCTTACCTGAACAGCATCACCATTGAAGATTCCATCTATGATGAAATAAGTCCAGAACACAGGCCACTCACACTCAATGTTTTCAAAGAGCTTGAGTTCAGCAGGGTCATAATGCAATCGGTTTGGGTCCTGGAATCAAATACATAAAACTTTTTTTTCCTTTGATATGAGGGTTTGAACCCAGGGTGCTTTACCACTGAGCTACAGCCTCACTCCTTTAAAATAATTTTTAAAAAATTCTGAGACAAGCTCTCGCTAAGTTGCTGAAGCTGGCCTTGAACTGTGCTTCTCCTGTCTCAGCCTCCCAAGTTGCTGAGATTACAGGCATGTGTCACTATGCCCAACCACATAAAGGTGGTTTCTTAAAGGTGATATCAGATTACATACACATTACCATCATGTCTCATTGGGTTTCCCTTGCTTGTCTGATTCAGTGTGGCTTTCAGGATTAGGAGCCTCCTATAATGAGGAGATGCTACTTTGGACAGTTTTCCATGATAAAATTTCAGAAAGTAAATCAGAAATATACACAAGACTCCTTGGTAGTCTATTTCACTAAAGCATCCTATCTAACAAATAAATAGCAATTTCCCTATTGCAATGCTTGGCAGACAACCTGTTTTATTTATTCATTATATTACTCACTGTGACAAAGAAACCCAAGGAGAAGGCCATGGACGGTCTTTAAAAAAAAAAACTGTGTGAGCCACAGAACTGTTTGTCCTTGTCTATAAGCTGGCTTTAAACTATCAGCTTGCTGTCCTCTTGATGATCTTACTATTCTATTGCCTAACTCCAGGCTTGCTGACTCCAAAATTAATACTTCCCTTTCCAATATTCCAACGTATAATTATAATCAATAGAGGGAGAACAACACACTGGCAAGTTAGATATGAAGCAGTTAAAGGACTGTAAGAAACAATATTTAAATACAACCTCTCTTGGGGTCTTATAACCATCTCGAAGGAAGCGACAGCATCCATAACGCCCCTAGTAAGGTAAAGAAATAAAATACATTTGATGAAATCACAAGAATTTCTTTGCCTTTTTTATTTTAATTCAAGTCAGCCCTTCATCCTCTCATCCATGAATCTTTTAGTAACAAAATAGGCCCCAAGTGCTCTTTGCTATTAGTATAAAGGCTTATTCTTTAAGTAGTATGCAAAGTACTTGGAAAGAAATGCTGAAATGCTCCACTGGAGTATTGGGGCTGTGAGAGTAATTACTAAAAGTTCAGTGACTGAGCATTCTTTCATTGTGATTACTGTGTCACACAAAGATGCAAAGGGACTACAGCTATTTGGAGAAGCCACCACGGCAGATAACTTGGATTGGCTAGCTCCTGCTTGAAAGATTGGGGAGCCGTAATGACACTCCTCAGACTCCTTGCCGTTGGCTCTGCCATCACATGTGGCCACAAGATTTGGCAGAGAGGGAGGGAGGGGCTTGCTGTGCTTAGGAGTGTCATAGTTGGTTTTCCTGCTGCAAGACTCTAGCTTCCTGGGTGCCAAGAAAGGAGGATAAGTGCAGCATTCTTCATCTAACCCCCTAATCCCTGGATGGCAACTTTGGGTGTCCATTTTCCAGTTTCTTCAGTGTGTAAGACCTCTGCAGCAGACCTGCTCTAGCATTGCTCCTGGAGGCCTGGAGCAGTGCCCCCATGTGGTCCTGGGAGTTGTCCCAGGGGGCTCAGCCCACAACCCACTCCTCTAGTAGGCACTTCATTTCCTGCATTAGCTCCCTTCCTACTCCAATTACTTTAAGAGATTCCTTTGTTTCTACTGAACCTGACCACTACAGCCATTTTGTTTTGGCAATAGGATTGGAGACCCTTTAACACCTTCGTTTCCATTTTTCTCTGAATCTAAGTGGAATAATCAACATGCAGATTTCAGCTTAGGAAACCTATATTCTTTGGTAATTTTACTGATAATTTCAGTTGGGTGGAGTACTTAATAACAGTTTCAATTTAGAGTAATATGTCATAGTTATTGCATTTCTCTGCAAAACAGGATATTTTTTTAACCTGAATTTAACTCTGAGATCACTAAGTCTCCTGATATTGTGAGTCAACAACATCAGGAGAGGTGCTTTTTTTTTTTTTTCCCCTAGTAGTGATTCTAGAGCTTTTGAGAGATTCTCAAAGGAGACTGTCTATGATGTCTAAAGGTTTACGTAGCCCTGCCTTAGAAGTATGGTGGTGGTAGGAATAGGAATTCAAAAATGCCTGATTGAGCTCAATTCACAATAGCTAAGCTATGGAATCAACCTAGGTGCCCTTCAACAGATGAATGGATAAAGAAAATATGATACACACACACACACACACACACACACACACGATGGAATATTACTCAGCTATAAAGAAGAATGAAATTATGGCATTTGTGGGTAAATGGATGGAACTGGAGACTTCCATGCTAAGAGAAATAAGCCAATCCCTCAAAACCAAAGGCCAAATGTTCTCTCTGATATGTGGATGCTAAAGAGAGGGGAGGGAAGAAAAGGAGTTGTTTGAATTAGACAAAGGGGAATGAAGGGGACGGAGCAGGGTGAGAACAAGAAAGACAGTAGAATGAATCAGACATAACTTTCCTATGTTCATATATGAACACATGACCAGTATAACTCCACATCATGTCCAACCACAAGAATGGGAAGTTGTTATACTCCATGTATGTATGATATTTCAAAATATACTCTACTGTCATGTATAACTAAAAAGAACAAATAAGATAAATAAAGGTAAAAGTGCCTGCCTGAGTCAAAGTTCTGCTACTTATGAAGAGAACTAAGGCACTTCATCGCTCTGAGACTTTGTTTACTCACCTATAGACTCAGCTTTGGGTAAAGCATGAGTCCACTTAAATAAAACAAGCCATTAACCTCACAAATGAGCTACTCCTACTTCATGTCATCATGTGAAAGTGGCATTTAATACAGGGTGGAAGAGCACTAGTGTAACCAATGCTTACCTGGAGCTTGGAAATAATTTCATTTTTGGTCACATTCACAAGGTTCATATCTTCCACTGCAAAGGCCGGGAAAGAAATAATGGAAAGAAGTCCAGCATCAATCTCTTTAGATGTCGATGCTCTTGGCAGCATGGAGAACAGAATAGACTAAATGAAAAAACAAAAATGTGGTTTAACCTGGAGAAGCACTAATAGACACAGTATCTAGAGACCACAACCTTAGATTCAAGGTAACATTCAAATGAGTTTGCCAATTAGAAAGGTGGAGAATCTAAATAAGAGCTCAGGTCTTCTCCTCCATGATTCTCCTTCCCTACTTTCTAGAATTCAGGAGACTGAGCTGTTACCTGGCAGTGCTCAACCTCATCAGGCAGGACATGGATTACTGACTTTCGTCCTCCATGGGCTCCAAAAAGGTCCAGTTCATCAATTGCCTCAAGTGCTGCCTACAAATACAGGCATGAATTACTTTTTTTCTAATGTACACACATTCCAATATCTGACAGTCCTTTTTCATAAGCAATCTAGCATCATATTTTCCCAAAGGCCATGAAACACATTTTTAAAATCCAGTTAAGGAGTCCTCTGGTCATGTTCTATACTCATTTTCAGTGGCTCAAAGATTTCCAATATGTTGCTGCTCATTCCAAGAACAAGAAAGAGAAAATAGGAAAACATTTCCTAAAATGAAATTAGCACTCTACCATAAACTGAAATTTTAACAAATTCATATCATCGCACACACGTGTGTATTTGGGGGGCTAGATTAATGATTGGCTTCTCTTTCACCTATTTTAGCAGTGAACTTCTACCATTAGCACATCTGGTACTTCAGAAAGTTAATTCTTTTTTTTATTGATTTTTTTAAAAAAATAAATGACAGCGGAATGCATTACAATTCTTATTATACATACACAGCACAATTTTTCATATCTCTGGTTGTATATAAAGTATGTTGACACTACTTCGTGTCTTCATACATATACTTTGGATAATGATGTCCATCACATTCCACCATCCTTACTAATACCCTGCCCCCTCCCTTTCCCTCCCACCCCTTAGCATGGGAAGAATAGACAAACTCTAGAAAGTTAATTCTTTTAGGAATAAGTGTGTTTTCTGTCAGTTTACCTAAATATACTTAACAGGGCACATTTATTATTACTTTTAAAATTCTGGCTCAAGCCTTCACTCTGTCCAAAAAATCTACTTTGGTCTTAAAAAACAGCAAGGGAAGGAGGCATGTTAAAATGTCTACAGCAAGAGATGCAAACTGGTGGCCTACAGACATAATCTACCCAACAGGTGAGCTTCGTTTGGTTTCAAGAGTATTTTCTAAATGAGTTTGAATTAGAATATTGGAATACTTTTAGGGAAAGTTTCCAGTATCCCCAATACTCCCCTCTCCTCCCAATGTTTTTCTATATGGTCAGTTTCACTTGTTATTATTGTCTGATCCTGTGGATTTGAATTTGTGAGCTCAACTTACAAAGTGCTCATATTCTTCAACCTTCACTAGACTGGACATCATGCCTGCAGCTTCTTAAAACAAGATCAAGAGCTTTGACCCATGGGTGATCACGACAGACAAAAAGGATGGGGCACACTTATTTTTTGGACACATGCAGATTTCAGCACAGGAAACCTACTTTCTTGACCTATAATTTCAATTGGCTGGGGTACATGGGCCACTTGAATCTCACATACTTACGGTGAACTTTTAAAAATGTGCTAATCAAATTAAATTCAAACTCCTAATGAAGAACCCAAGCAAAGCAATGAAAACACCCAGAAGAAGGAACAAACAAGAGGACTGTCACCTTGGCCATTCCCACAGAGCTTGCATTCAATTCTGGAATGCCCTGATTAGTCTTATCACCACGCTCCCACATTCCATAATCCTGGGGGAGAAAAAGATAGTTATCAGAGGGGGTGAAAGAGGTATATGAGACATGCTATGGAAGATGATTCCCTCATGTCACTGCAGGCACAATGAAATATGAGTATGTCTTCTCAAAGGCTCCCAACTTCATGGCTTTATATACTCACACTCTGGTCCTCCTCAATTTCAGTTCATGTGACCTCTATGTAGGATTTTAGAAGAAAATACTCAAGTGGAACAAAAGTGCATGCCAAAGCAATCTCAAATTTCTTATTTCTAAAAGGTATTAATTTTTATATAAAAAACCTCTTGATTTATAGAGAACAAAATATTTTATTTACCTTAAAATCAAACTGCTGCTCTTCTATTTAGTGAATGCCTTTGAACTTGTAAGATGGAATTGTAAGATGGAATAAAGAAACTCTGATGCATGGGTTATAATTAGTTGAAGCCAACAAACCCATTTAAAATAATTTAAGAATTATTTTAAGCATTACCGCTTGGGCAAAAACCTCAATGACTAGAGCCAAGGTCAAAAGTGAGGCACAGATCACTGATCATACATGGTGTTTAAAAACCAATTAATGTGAATTGGCTCAGAATACTCTGTTACACAGAGGACTCCATACACATGTACCTAACTTCAGCGATGAATACTTGCATTTAAAACCTAAGTACTGGATGCTGTTTTGAAACAGCATCTATTTTTTTTTTTGAGAGAGAGAGAGAGAATTTTTCTAATATTTATTTTTTAGTTTTCGGTGGACACAACATCTTTGTTTTATTTTTATGTGGTGCTGAGGATAGAACCCAGTGCCCTGCGCATGCCAGGCGAGCACACTACCGCTTCAGCCACATCCCCAGCCCCAGTACATGCACTATTGAAAGATTATAATCCAACAAGAATAAGATCAATACCAAAATATCAGTATTTTTCAATCTCCAAAGAGGATCATTTGTAAAATGTGAGCACTTGGATACACTAAAGCAACTTTAGATCCTTCCCTGCAAATAGGCCTTGTAGCTGGGCCTGAGCATCTTTCCTTCACTATTCTTCTTGTCTGAGCCTTCCTTTGCTCAAACCCATCTTTACTTCAACCCCACAGCCATGTGCTCATCCTCAAAAAATTCTTGGGTCCATCCAGCCCTCTACTTCAGAGTCTAAAATGACAAATGGTGTCTTCCTTAGTGGATATCATCCATCTCTCTCTCTGCATGGCCATATTCTACTTGATCTGGCCTCTGCCCACTTCATGCCCATTCGTTGACCTTATTTTCCAGTGTCAATTTTCACCCTAAGTCTGTTCCTTTACTCTGCACTCTCTTCCTGAAGCACCCTGACCTCCCCTCCCAATTCATCCTGTTCCTACCTCTGTGTTATTGACTGCTCATGCTATTCCTACACTCAAAACACCATTTTTCCTCTCTTCTGGGTAACTAAATCTACTTATCACCTAAGGTCCAACTAAAGGCCTATCTTTCCAAGGCTTCTCAAGTTTCTTTAGACCAAGGTTCATCGACTCTGCTACTAATGACATTTTGACCAGATAATTGTTTCATGGGGCTATTCTGAGCATTATAGAATGTTTAGCAGCATCCCTGGACTCCTCTAACCACTAGATGCCAGTGGTACCTTCTTCTCCAGGTATGACTACCAAAAAATTGTCCTCAGACACTGTTCAATGTACCCTATGAGAGGAAGATTGCCCCTTAATGAGAATCGCTGCTTTTGACCTAGGGTTAGTGAACTATAGTCCTTGGATCAAATCTTGCCACCTGTTTTTGCCAAGTTTATTTTGGAAACAGCCATGCTTATTTGTGTACATATGCCTGTGCTTCTTTCACGCTACAAAGGCAGAGCTGAGTAGCCACAACAGAGGCTGTAGGGCCTGACAAAGTCGAAAATATTTACTCTCCTATCTTTTGCAGAAAAAGTATGCTGACCATTCCTTAAGCCATAGTGACATTTTTTAAAACCAACCTGCCTTTCCTAACTGCTGCAACTGCTCTGCATAGTTCAGTTGTCATCTAGAAGTGCATCAGGCTCCAACTTCAAAGCCAGACAGAAGCCCAGAGGAAGTGGACTTTATACCTGTTTATGCCCCAGCTCAGGTCCCTCTGCCTGTGGACTGGCTAAGGTGATCCCCATGGCACCCCAGATCCTACCAAGGTGCCAATGCTGCCACTTCTACAGCCTGACTCAGGCTGGCCTGTACATATATATCCCCTGTGACATTTTAGGGTCTTATTTAAGATAAGCATAATAATTCAGACAACAAGTGTGGGGTGTTCAAAAAAAAAAAAAAGCCCACAACTGTATCTCAGGACAATAATGTACATTTACATGTGGTAGTGACACAATCTCACAGCTCTAGTCTTGCTAACCTTTTGTGTAGCCCCAAACACCCTGTCTCTCAAAGAATTCTATGATTTTTTTTTCCTTTCTGACATCCAGCACACCTGAAAAAGGTAGCTACCAGTGTTGATACTTACAGCAACTTTATATGCAGCTTCTATGTAGAAAACAAGATTCTGTATGAAGGCCACCTCATCAAGGGTGAAAATAATACGTAAGCCTAGTAAAGAGAAACAATAACGTTATGATACTAAGGATTTAACCCAGAGGTGCTTTACCATTGAGCTACATTCCCAGCCCTTTTATTTTTTATTTTGAGACAGGATCTCTCTTGCTAAGTTGCTCAGGCACTTTCTAGGTTACTGAGACTGGCCTTGAACTTGTGATCCTCCTGCCTCAGCCTCCCGAGTTTCTGGGATTACAGGTACATACCACAATATCTGGCTGAAGTTATGTTGTGAAGAGAGCTGCTAGTTACAAATTACAAATATCATGCTAGGAAACAAATCCTTTTACCCTCATTTTCATTTTTCTTATTATGGCATCAAAAATTAAGTCTGAGGTAAGTCATAAAAAAATCATAGAATTCTTTGAGAGACAGGGTGTTTGGGGATAAGCAAAAGGGTTAGCAAGACTAGAGTTGTGAGATTGTGTCACTTCCACATAATCTCAGAAAGAGGAAAGAAGGAAGAGAGGCAGGGAGGGGTGGGAAGAGGATAGAAAAGAAAGAAGGGGGGCTGGGGATGTGGCTCAGCGGTAGCGCGCTCGCCTGGCATGCGTGCGGCCCGGGTTCGATCCTCAGCACCACATACCAACAAAGATGTTGTGTCCGCCGAGAACTAAAAATAAATATTAAAAATTCTCTCTCTCTCTCTCTCTCTCTCTCTCTCTCTCTCTCTCTCTCTCTCTCTCTCTCTTTAAAAAAAAAAAAAAGACTCCAACCTTGAAACCTTAGCCCTGCCTTTATGTCCCCTGACATAAATAAAGCAAGCCACGGCTCCATTTAAAAAAAAAAAAAAAGAAAAGAAAGAAGGGAGGAAATAATGGCTCCATCTGTGTGTGTGTACTGGGTAGAAAGAGTTGAAAGAGAAGGTATGGGCCCTCTGGCACGAATTGGATTTGTTCAGAAAAGGTTGCAACAAAGCAAGGATTGGAGCCCAGAACAACCAGGGCACTGTACTTATCCTTGAGTGAGCCAAAGGAAAGGGTGAGTACTTTCCCCCAGTGGCAGATAGGGCAAGTAGAGTCCCCAGAGGCCCTTCCTCCTCTGCGAAGCCCAGCTCTCAGGACCTGCTGGGGCAGCTGCCTTACTCACTGTAATAGGCAGTGACCAAGAAAACTGTTTTTTGTTTAGCCCTTGAAATGTAGTCGATTATATATAAAAAAAAAACCATATATTTTTTAAGTTTGAATTCTGAAAGCAGGTATGAATACTATAAGATGTGTGCTCTTATATCAATGAGAGAATTTAACTAGCAAGCTAAACAACCAGTGACTGAAAATGAAATGGCAATATATATACATAGCCTTTGAATGGTATCTTCAGAAGGAATAGAGATGGAATTAAAGTTGATATTGCAACATTAGTTATAACAGCAAAACAAATAAAGGAATAATTTAATTATAGTATACCCATTAATAAAGTTACTAAAATAGTGTTTGTGAAGAGCTTGTAAGATTATGGGGGAGGGCTAAGGGTGTAGCTCAGTGGTAGAGCACTTGCCTAGAATGCATGAGGCACTGGGTTCGATCCTCAGCACCACATAAAACAAATAACATAAAATAAAGGTATTGTGTCCATCTACAACTAAAAAAAAAAAGTAAAAACAAAAGATTATGGGGGAAATGCCATTATTTGCTCCCTTCTTTCTTTCTTTCCTATCCTCTTCCCACCCTTCCCTCTCTTCCTTCCTTCCTCTTTCTGCTTTATAACTGGGGCATTGGACTATCTTTTTATGTAATAAAATAACTATGTATATAATATAACACTTATATAAAAATGCATAGAAAAAAGATGTGGAGGAGACATATCTAAATGAAAAATGGCAGTGTAATTTTTTTTCTTTGTATTTTGCCACATTTTCTGAAATATTTATAGTGAGAACTCATATTAACTCATATTAATTTTCATTAACTTCCATAACAAAAAATTACTTTTTATCAGCGTGTGCTTTATTGACAAAGCTACAAAAATATTACTTGCTGATTTATGGGACTTTTTTTTCAAGTTTCACACTTGCAGTCTGAGGCCTCAGGCATGTCAGTTCAGTGGACTAGTGATGAGAACTCTGAGACAGAGTCAGTCCAACTTGGGAAGCATCCTTAGTGGACGCTCTTATGGGAGAAAGGCTATTTGGTATGTGAAAAACAACTGCAGCCTGGAGCTTGAAGACCTGGCATCTCACCTGTCATAGAAGCCAGTGGCTCTGACTCACCAGGAACAATGTATACCACTGACAAGTTGCAGGCCTCCTCACAGCATAGGTGCTATGGGCTTCTCAGCCCACTCTGGGGACCCCAAAGAGTGGAGGGAATGGTGTTGTTCAAATATAACTTAGATAAAGGAGGATGTATCTTAGAAAAGGGTGACCAGGTAGTGAGAGGGAGAGCTGAAGGCACGAGGTACTAATCCTGGAAAAAAAAAAAAGTCTAAGAGCAGGCATGAGATTGTCTGCAGGTATTTGAACTGCTCTAAGTTGCTCCAGGAACTAGGAGAGTGGCAGGATGGAAGCTGAGGGCTCCACAGCAACAAGCTAACAGAGTTGGTTCAACAGCCTTCATCCTGCAAGTGCCTGGGTAGAGGTAGACTGTCCTATCTGCAGGTCACAGACAAGGTCCCCACACTCCCTGCCCTATCACAGACACAATGGCATGTGTTATCAGAGAACATGCCTTTCCATAAACTGCTCACTTAAAATACTGATTGCTATGGATTAAATGTGTCCCCTCCATAATTCAGTGTTGCTGATCTGCTGGTATTGAGGTTGGGCCTATAGGTGATTAGGCCATGAGGGCTTCTCTTTCATGAATGGGATTCGACTCTTAAAAAAGAAGCTTTACACAACATTCAGTTCTCTTTTCCTTCTGTCTTCTGCCATGAGAGGACAGCATTCCTCCCCTTCAGAGGATGCAGCTCTCACCAGACAATTGAACCTGTTAATGCCTTGATCTTGAACTTCCCAGAACTGTGAGAAAATTTCTGTGTTTCAAACTTCTGAGTCTCAGGTATTCTGTTGTAGTAGCAAAACAGATTGACATTGCCCCCTCCATTTCTGGATTGTCACTTTCTAAATAATGGGCTTAAATGGCCCTGACTCACCTGACGCAGTCATCTGGGACAGGAACAGGAGGAAGAGGGAAGTGGCATCCACCTGGAGGTGGCCCCACTGGTCATCACCCACCACGGTACTGCAGGTGGAGGTATTGTACTTGGCGTGCAAACTGTCTTTGGTACTCTGAGTGTGTTTGAACTTCTCCACTTTGTCCACCTAAGAGAGAAGGCAAGCTGGCTCCACATAGCTACACAGGTTTATGGCTGGCATAGGTCACCCAAGGCCAATCAACTGGAGCTAAACTTCTTATCTGCTACATCTGGAAGCCAGAGGGATGGGAGGCAGCTGCTAGTGTAGAATACACATAGGGACTGTGCTATGGATTCTTCCAGCCCATTCATGGCAAACTTTCCAGCCCAAGGGGTTTTAACAATTTCTGCAGAGATCAGGGTCGTGCCTAAGGGTTTCTTGCCTATAGAAACCCAGCTGTGGCACATAGTAGGTACTCAAGGAGGCATCGAAGGAAGAGGACCTGTTTAAATTTCAACTTCTCCTTTCCTAATGTTGAAAGAAAAGAGCAAGTATGTCTTTGAACATGCTGACTGAGGATTGGGGACTGGATTGCATTTATCTTTGAATCTGAGTAGATTCTAGTATAATGTTCTGTATAAAGTACATGTTCAGCCAATTGTTTTATTTACCCCTCACTGAAACTACCAGAAAATAGTAATGGTAAGTTTTAAAAACTCAAACACTTCATCTCAAATGAAAACATACCCTTTACAAACTTGATAGAGCACATAGCTTTCTAGTAGTGGCTTTTTAAAATTTTTTTCTCCTGCACTGGGGATTGAACCCAGTATACCACTGAGCCACATCCTTAGACCTTTTTATTTTGAGACAGGGTATTGCTAAATTGCTAAGGTTGACCTTGAACTTGTGATCCTCCTGCTTCAGCCTCCTGAGTAACTGGGAACACAAGCATGCATCACTATGCCCAGCTTACAAATGGCTTTTTAAAAAATATATTTTCTTAATTTTTTGAAAGAAATGTTTTCCTTTTACGCATGTAATTATTCAAAAGAGATTCTCAGAAACAGTGTTCTGTGAGACCATGGCAAAATATTTTAAATTTCTCTCCCTCTTGAGAAGAAAAGTTCAAAACACACCAAGTAAGTTAATTGTCACAATTAAAATGACACAAAATGCCCACTCAGATGCTCTTTGAGCACACATCTGCACATTCCACCTACCTGTCTCATCATGCACTGGAGTAGACCTCGCATTAGCTTCACCACGTTCTGTGGAAATAAAAGTGGTGTCAGTAATCAGGCCTGGCTTCCTCGCTCACAGAAAACCACCTCTGGGCCTTCCTGTGGCTGGTAAGCTAGTGCTGCCTGGCAACTTCCCTGAAAAGGCATATACATATATGAGTATTTCAAGTGGTCTGCCATTTCTCTATCGCAAAGAAAGAAAAATTCTGACGAAGTGATCTTTCTCAAATAAAAGGGTTAGATCAGATAGAGTCTTCTGGCTGTTCAATTCAGTGACTCCCCACTGACATTTTATACACACAATTTTTATAAACCTGGTGCTTGGGAATTTTATGTCAAATTTCACAGTAATTTATTTTTGTATATTAAAGATAAATTAACTCCACCATGCCTGCCCCCAAATAATGATGTTACACCAAAAGAACCATTTGTGACACCATTACTGGACTATTGAGTAAAGTTCTTACAAAATTTGAGTGGTAGCCAATGTTTCTTAATAGTGTGATGTATTGCAACTGATTGCTACTATCATCATTATAAATAATAACAGTACTACTACATTAATCAATTAGACATTACATCCAGGCATTGTTTAAAACACTTTACTTAGATTATCTCAAATTTTTGCCCCAGCCTTATGAGGTTATTATATAGCATTATTACCCCACTTTGTAGATGAGGGGACTGAGGCTAAGAGAGCTGAAGTAATATTGCTCAAGTCTTCCAGCTGACAAGGTGTAGAGCAAGAACAGAGCTCAGACTTTCAGGAGCCAGAGTTTGAGCTCTTATCCAGTCCATTATGTTGCCTCCCATCTTCTCCACAATTCAGCCCATTTAAAGACCAGTCTGTTCAATTCCCAGTACTTAAAATAAATAAATAAATAAATAAATAAATAAATAAAGGACTGGTCTGAACATGGTCTGCTAAGAACACTATACAACTACTTCATGAGTGGCTGAACAGAAGATATTTTGTAGGCCAAAGTAGCCTGGAGGAAAGACGTTTCCACCCAGGGACATGAGTATATCCTCTCTTACAGAACATATATGATTTGCAGGGGAAGACACAGTAAAAGGGCTCAAAAGTTCATTGTCAATGAATTTCTGCCTCTAAAATCCTAGAATTCTAGAATATAATCTGAATTTATATCATGAATTCTATTGAGGCAGAAAATGTTATCTCATAATTATGAGGTAAAATTAGCATTGTTATAATTAACATTTCCTACAGTGTATATAGTGTAAACATCTGTCAATTGACTCCCTACTGTCCATGCCAACTAAAGAAAATTTATTTTCCATTAGGCAGAGGCACAGTGGTTCCCAACTGGGGGTTATAACTGCCATCTCCAGGAAGTAAGAAAGTATCTAGAAACATGGGATGGAGGTATTTTAATCATCATGGCAAAGGTTCGAGCTGCTGGCACTTAGTGAGTAGAGAGAGACAAGAGTCCCTAAGTGTCCCACTGTGCATGAGACACACACACAATGAACCCAAAATGTAATAGTGTTCCTGTTGAGTATCATCCTGTTTTTTTCTATCAGGAAGGGAGATGTCATTAACCACATTTATCAAATAATAAAAGGATTTAACTATGAAAAATTGTGTCCTTTTTGTGTCTCATTATTGGTAATCAAGGAGCAACAAATCCAGTCAACTGTAACCCAGCCCAAGTAGGAGAGAGAGAGAGAAAGAGTGTATGTTTGAGTATGAGACACACACACATACAGAGAGAGAGAGAGAGAGAGAGAGAGAGAGAGAGAGAGAGAGATTGGATACTGCTTTACTTTGGTTTTGTCTCAAAAGGTGACAGGAGATTTTGTAAGACATTCACGTCAAATTATTCTACTAATAAATGAATGATTCCTTACGTAAATCTCATCCTTTTTGGAGGACAATTCAATGCTTTCTGTATCCAAATTTTAAAACTTGCCTTAACCCCAAAATTGAGTGAATTCATCATCCTACACTCAGCATTTCTGACCAAATACAAGCTTTATTCCCATGGATAAGCTTTCTTTCTTAGTTTCCTCATGGCTCTCAAAGCTGCCCTCATGCTGCCTGCCACTTATGTCCACTTTGGTTGCTATAAACAAGCACCCACTAAGCTGGAAGACCTGACAATCCACTGGCTGTGAGAGTCATCCAGAAATGTATGAATTAAAGGCGAATCCTAAGCCTGAGGATATAGCTCAGTGGTAAAGTGTGTGCTTAGCATGCATGTTCAATCCTCAGGACACATACATACAGAAGTATCTTTATAAAGATAAATCCCAAAGGCTCTCATGCTTAAATAATTATACTTTTATATTTCAGTGTTCCCTATCTCAATGTTATCAAAATATTTGGAAAATAACTCCCATGCTTAAGGGCAGAACATTTTCTTCCAAACTCACTAATGACAAATCTTTCTTTGGTGAGTATCTTGGTTTCTGATTTTGAGAAACAACACCAACAAAAAAGGACTTCATTGTGCTGTATGGTGAATAACAGGCACAAAAATTGTGTAATATCAATTTGGTGTGAAACTAAGGGTGACCATGAATAAATAAGACTGCTTTCCTGGAGTGACTCAAACTAGAGTTATTTTTAAGTGAAGTTTCAAAAATGTTTTAAGCAGTGGCAATAATGTTTGGATAAATATTCTTTCAATGTGGCTACCCTGAAGAGTACATACTTTGGAATGTATAGCTCTGATGTGCTGACTTTTTAAAAATAATCACGTTTAGTTTATAATGATGTCTTGTATATAAAAATATGTATAAAAATTGATAAAATGTGTGAGAGAAATATAGCTCATAAGGCAAATCAACACTCCGGAGTTAGAAATTTGAATGTTTTCATTTCCTATTTGGTGTTTTTTTTTTTTTAAACTTTCAGATGGACACAATATCTTTATTTTACTTTTATGTGGATTGAACCCAGTGCCTCATGTATGCTAGGCGAGCACTCTACCACTGAGCCACAACCCCAGCCCCTTGGTATGATTTTTGATGTCATTATTTTATGGAGGGGAAAAATGTCTCAAACAGAAAGATGCATGTGAGGTTGAGACCATATAAATGCCTCTCCAAAACACTGTATAGCAGAAATGGAAGAGAGACCTGAATCTCAACAGTTCTACACACAAAGCTAATTCCTCCTTGGTTTTCTTGAGGAAAATGTGCTTAACAGCCAAGATATGGCTGTCAGTCACCATTACCTGTTCCAATTCATAGGCCTTGGCCTTGTCCTCATCGCGGTCGGCATTCTTGCGGTAGGCCATGCCCAGTCCCCACACAGCCAGGATGCTGTAGATGTTGTCGCGCACCCAGGCATCCTTCTGCTCATGGCTGGCTGACAGCAGCCCTGTGACGGGATTCTATTAAAGAAAAGACACAAAATAACTTTGCAACTCCCTTCACACAGCTAGCTCCTGGGCAACAAATGCTTACCCAGGGGACAGACAACGACCAGGGAAGAGGAATAGAGACAAGAGTTCCAGTTCCTGCTCCACCATTAACAGTGTGATCTTGGGTGGTAAGTTGCATCACTTCTCTGAGCCTCAGTTTCCTCACCTGTATAACCAGGCGATGAGACTAAAAAATTGTCGAAGGAACCTTCTAACTCTTATGTTCTTCTTTCTTTTTCAGATCAGACCACACTGTTGTAAGTGATAAAACAGAAGAATGAATAAATAGAAAAAAAGCCTGCAAGGCTTTACAAATCTGTGCATTGTGGGCTTTAGGTCTTCTCTGGCCTTCACAGTTCCATATTGGTTGGTAAAGAACTGAAGCTGGGAGGAAGACACCTGGATGCAGGACCCCATCCACTTCCTCGCTCTGTGTGCCCAGGGAAGCCACCTTTCCTATCTGGATCTCAGCTATCTTGTCTGCAATTCAGGTACTTCGTGGGCCTAGAGAGAAGGTGCTGAGCAGAAGGAATATGTGGGAGTCTTATTTAGCTGTAATGTCATTTTTATTTAAAAAGGCAGTGGAATCACTGAAAAAAACCAGACCTTCATATAAAAAAACTGCACAGAAATGTTCATAGCAGCATTATTCATAAACATCAGAAAGTGAAAACAAGACAAATATCCATCAACTGATGAATGGATCAACAAAATGTAGTCTCTACAATGAAGTATTTGTCAGCAGAAAGGAATTACTAATATACACTGTAACACAGATGAACCTTGAAAACATAATGCTAAGTGAAGGAAGCCAGTCACGAAAGGTTACATATTGAGTGACTGCATTTATATGAAATGTCCAGGGTACACAAATCTATACAGACAGAAAGATCATTGATGGCCTAGAGCTATGGTGGAGGTGGAGTGGGGGAATGAGTGGCTGCTAATAGGCTTTTTCCTTTTCTTTTGGGAGGTGTTAAAAATTCTTTAAAATTGACTGTGGTGATGGATGGACAACTCTGTGAATATACTAAAAATCATTCAATTGTGCCTTTGAAATAGTGAAGTGTGTAAGTAAATTGTATCTCATTAAAGTTATTAATTTTTAAGCACCAGTCCTAATAAACTCTGAGCCCATAAATAAAATGGATAAGATAGGAAATGAGTCACATAAAGTCTCTGATGGCTTTTCCCAAAAATATACAAAGAAATATGTATCTAATAAAATGCATCATAACAATCAGAACCCTGCCAGCTTAAAAAAGAATTAATCAATAGGGCTGAGGTATAGCTCAGTGGTAGGGCACCTACCTGGCATACATGAAACCTGGGTTCTATTCCCAGCACCACAGAATAAAACAAAACAAAAAACAACCATTATTCAAAAGGGTTCTGTATTATTTACAAGACGTATCATGAAAAACTGTTGAGTACTTTTAAAGTGACAGTGCTAAGGTTATTAGGTTTTTTAAAAAAGGTATTATTTTACATGGTCCCACTTATTAAATATTTGAATTTCTCCTTTAATGAATCTATGCCTCCTATAAAAACATCTAAAACTGAACTGATACTACCCTCAGGGGCAATAGCATTCCATGTATTGACATAGTTATCCAGCCAATAACTTATGAATCAATGATATTAAAGCCAATCAGAACTGAAGTCTAGGAATGACTGAGTCAAAGTACAAGGCTTATTCCAATAGTAGATTACTGATTCTTTAAAAAAATCACTATTCACCAACAATAGATAACATATACATCTTTATCTGTTCTGAGACCTATTGGGTAAGTCTGGGGCAGGGAATAATCAGGAGATCTACAGAAAGAACTCAACCCCCCTCCCGTGTCTCCACCAACCATGAGTCCACTGAGACAAACAACCTTCAGATGACACAGCAGTGACCGTTACACATAGTGCCAAGTGTGGTTTGGATTATGAAATGTTACCCTCCTATTAACTGAAAGTCTTCTCTTTTATTCTTTAGTTTGGGCTTAACTGTTGGAGTGGATCATTTTGTCCCCACCCAACACTAGACTGTCTATCTTCCCTCATTCAATTATTGAGAAGCAGTCTGGGTATTTCAGGGGACCCCCACATTCAAAACTATGCATACAAAAAAGCCATATAAAAGGGGTGTTATTGCACTCAGGAAAAGGAGTATTTATGACTTGCTTCTCTCTTTAAATCTATAAAACATGATGCTTTGTGTTGCAAGAGATGTAGGTGGTTCTATTTTGATGTGATTCATAAAAACTGAAATGGTGGGCTGGGGTTGTGGCTCAGTATAGAGCACTCACCTAATGTTTAAGGCACTGGGTTCAATCCTCAGCACCACATTAAAAAATTATTAAATTAAATAAAGTTATTGTGTCTATCTACAACTTAAAAAAAAAACAAACCTGAAATGGCCACAGACTGGTAATTACTGTTACTCCCAGTCTGCTGTCCCTTCCAATAAAGATGACCCAAAGGTTTTGTCTTTGCATTCCTCCTCTACTTGGAGATGGGTTGTGCTGCATCACCCAAGCAGGTCCATTGCATTAGAGCTCTGGGGTCATTGGTTTCCATTAGATATGTCAATGGAGGGAGAAACAAAAGGCTGAACACTGGCAAATACAGACCATAGAAAGAAGGTGGGGAGATTTGTCCAGGCAAAGCCTTATGATCATATTAACCATCTGGTGCTTTCCAATCTTTAAAAAATATTATTTAATTATATCTGTTAAAATATTATTTTTAAATATAACACTGTAGAACTGTCTAACTATAATCATATAGATGAGTTTTCCATTTTTTCTGCTCTTTACTTGCCCTCCTCCCTTCACATCAGCAATCCCATAAACACTGTCCATGCAACAACCTTATATATATTTTTCCATCTTTTTTTCTGTGCTGTGAAAATCAGATATTTAAATCATATACCTACATGCACATGCTTATGTATAAACTTCTATATGTGCAAGGTTTTTTTTGGAGGAGGGGTCACTGTTTTTAATGTATGGGATCTTAGGATCACTGCTTACTTGGCATTTCCCATTCAACAGAACCTTATGAGATCCCTTAAGCCCTTTGGTTTAACTCAAACTCATTAAGCTTTATAAGCTCCATAATATTCCATGGTGAATGCACATAATAATGCATCTAGTTTTCTACCATTGTGATGGGTATTCATTAATTTTTCAGAGTTTTAATTTTTTTGCCACTGCAAAAATACTGCAATAAGTATCAACAGTGCTTTTTTTCAATAGTGCTTTAATTTGTGTGAAATAGAATCCCAAAAACAGGATTGCTAGGTTCACAGGCTATATGCATATGAACTTCCAGTTTTAATAAATATCCCTGATCCTTGTCAGGAAGTTGTCAATATTTAAAATTTTTTCAGTCTGATGGGTGTAAAGTGACATATATAATTGCTTTTATTTTTAAAATTGTTGTTTCCCTGACTGCCAGTGAATTTAAGCATCTATTTATTCTTTTTTGGGGAGGAAGGCACTGGATTTTCTGTTCTGTGAGTTAATTTTTAGTTTCATTTTTTTAAATCGGGTACTATTTCACCATTTCTATCTACAAAGAATGACAACCTTCCACATATCATGTTTAAGAGCACAAGCTTTGGAATCAGACTGTTCGAAGCTCTACCATGATACAACTGCAACCTTGTCAATTGACTTTAGCATCCCCATCTGTAAAATGAGGATTATACCAGTGTTTCCACCTCATAGGGTAGTTTGTGAAGATTAAAAGAATCAGTGTGTATCAAGCATTTTGGACTATATCTGACACATGTAAGTGATCAATAACTGCAAGCAATATTTAATATTGTTGACCTATTTGAACAGCTTTCATTATATTATTTCTTTCTTGTATAGTTATAATAATTTCAGGAAATCAGATAAAGATACAGGGCTAGGGAGAAAATCTGCAAGCAAATCCAAGCTCATTTTTATTACCTAGAATAACTAAGTCTGGGTGCCCTCTTTCATCTTTACCATAAATATGGCCAGTGATGATATTTTATCCCACGGATATTTTTGAAACAAAATCCCTGGCAACTCTGTACCCTCTCCCCACCCAATTCTTGCCTTTCCCCTTCAAGTTTAGCCCTAATTTGTGCTCTCTCACACAAATCTTCTGTTTACTTTACTAAACTCTCTGTACTTTGCCTAAAAAAATCAGTGGCAAATCCTGTTAAGAACATCCACTTTTCTAATCAAGAGCTGCTCCTGAGGTGGCCAGGTGTGGGGTCATGGAGGAGGAGGATGGGGCAGATCTCAAGAAATGGCAACTACAAAGATATCTAAGAATAATAAAAGAGCAGGTATCACAATACAGTCTTAGTGGAGATAGCACAGCCCTGCACTGAGTCTCAGACCCCTGCTGCAGGCTGACCTGACAATGACAGCCTTAAACTCTAGAAGAAGCTGAGACAGATGAGCCTCCTACAGATTGTGTTTCACTGAGGATAAGAGCCAGCAGCTGTGTGGAGTGTCCTTTGACTCATTTGCCCCTCTTTCCTTCTCCATCTCTTCTCAGTTTCTCATCTGGGGAAAGTGCCCATGTTGGCTCCTGTCTGTGAGAACAAAGAGCAGAGCCTGAAAGCCTAGAATGGATTGGGTCCAAGTTTTGGCTTCTGTGCCATGGTAACAAATAACAGTAAAATCTCAGTGGCTTTTTACAAGAAACATTTATTTCTCATCCAAGCCTTGTGTACGTATCTGGTCAGCTGTGATTCTGCTCTCTGTTATTGTCCCTCTAGGAACCAGGCTACTGGATCAGCCTGTATCTAAAACACTGCCCATCTTGTAGCAGAGGGGAAGAAAGACAGCTAACCAAGAGAGGAGTTCTCCATGAAGACATAAYAATMCCAAATGTGTATGAATCTAACAAGAGGTAAAGGAATAGATACATAGATGGTTGAAACASAATTGAGTCCAGAAATAAATTTACACAAATATGGCAAACTRCTC